TATTCAACAACGGGGGGAAGTACTTGTGTGCCCTGAGGATCCGTTCAATGATGGCATCGCCAACTTTGTTGTAGACAGTCCTGTTGTCAGCGCAACTGATGAAGAACTGATTCTGTGAGAGGAAGGAAGGAGAAATGACAAACACAAAAAAGGTTATGATGTGGGTCGGTTGTCAGACTTTTGGAGAGTTCAACGGTTATTCATTCGGGTTTTGGGTCAGGGGAGAACCATGACCCCTAACATTTTTGTCATACCATTAGATGATTAGTCAGTTAAGTAGTTACTTGTAAACTTCATAGTATCTTAATAGGACTATGTCAGGAAAATAATGCACCACAGCTGACAGCAGCAACATCACACAGACAGGATTACATTTTTCTCTACAGATCTCTTTGTTTGGTGCCAGATATTTGACAACGGGAGCTAATCTAGATCTCAGGGGCCAGCAACTGCATTGCAGGGAAGTTTCAAAGGAGTGTGTGGTCGATGTCTCGACCTTTATTTAAAACAAGTTGGGTTCAAGTGGGTGAGAGAAGTAGGTCTTACTTTCTTTCACTCTACAATTTTGAAAGTGCTTCAATCTGCCTCAAACGAAATGTCTATTATTGGGAGGCTTGTGAAAAAGATCCACTGCCAATTCTTTAAACGCATCTGGTCCCCACAAGACCTTAAAATTAAAAAGACCTATAGCCTCAAAAGCAACTAAATATATTTTGGATAAAAATAAAAATGTAACACACTTTTTCCACACACTTCTTCTGTATGTTGGATTTATTTTAACTCTCTATTGTCATGAACTTAATTTTTCACACCATCCTTTTTTGGGTGCTTTGGGTTCATCCTCTGTATATTCTACGAAGAAACACTAAACTTCTAAAGCAGAGTTTTGTCCAGTATCAATGCCTGGCTTCATTTTTATCATACCTCTATGTAGATGTAGTACTTGCTCTTGGCGATGACCTGGACGTAGGCATTATGGATGGACTCCTCGTGGTACTTTATGCCAGCTGACCAGTCTGCTGCTGACCGCAACACCTAATACACACATGAATGAAATAAGTCCTTTTCCAAAGAGCAACTGCATTGTGAATATGAACGTGTGAGTTGTGTTGAGTTATTTTCTCATGCTGTGTTCTTAAACAAACTAAACAGAGAAATATTAACAATGCTGTACTTAGCATTATACAATTCAGAAAGGTCAAAATAACTACAGCCTGCGTTTATAGCACTATAACTTACAGTGCATACAAGAGTAGAGAATGCTATAAAAACACAAAGGGGATGTTAAGATTAAATCAAATTTTATAACCATATGTGCTGGATTTGTTTATACAATGAAATGCTCATTTAAGACGGACATTTGATTCAGAGGTCAGTCAATTTGTCAATCACAGGTACGTGTTTCAGTTCTATACCTCCTCAGCCCATATGGGGTCTTAACATTCCCTCTTTTTTGTTTCCAGTTATGCTTGATGGTGTGTAGACTGTGTGAGAGCAAGAGCTTACTACTGTTATTTTTAGAAGGGATTTCCATGTTGTTTGCATATGTATATTGAGACCATCAGTGGTTTTTGATGTGTTGTGAAGGTGGGTACTGTCTATGTCTACCTGCACTTTGGCATTTACAGAACCAGGAACTTGGTATTTGAGCTCACTGGCACTGGAGTGAGACTTAGGCAGCAGGAATGGATAAGACAGGGAGCGATACTTTGGCTTCATGATCTGTATGACAGGCAGATGGAGAATAAAATTTAGAGTTAGAGGGGGAAGACTTGGAAAAGAGCAAAAACATGAGAACAGGATGAAAAGGGCGGTGTCAGGCAAGAGTAGGCACAAGGATTAATTTTTTCCATTGCTTCATTTAAACACATTTAAAGCTTACATCAGCTTCCTATGACTTACAGTCTCTCCGCTTATGAAGTGGAATCAGAAATGGAAAATGAATGGTGGTAGGTCTGGCAGACTTTAAATGTATTTAAACACCAACAAAAGACATATACCATGGTTCAATAATTCATTAAGTTAAGCTTGTGATTGAGCAAATTCCCGTGCCTTGGTGAAGTTCCACCGCTGTATGAAGTGCCTGGCCACATCCCGGGCCCCTCTCCCATGAACCACTGAGGCGATGTCATGCCAAGGCATTCTAGGAGTGGTGTACCTGTCGATAAAGTCTACAGAGAAAGGGCAATTATCTAAACAGAGATTAATTAATAAGTAAACACAAAAGAATGTCAAAGATAAGGGGGGGAAAAATCTATAAAGCTAAAGAGTGATAAATTCCTCTGAGAATAAAAAATACAGTGGCATGACTCATCCTTCAACAATCTTCCTTTGTACTTATCATTTATTCCAGATGGCAATATAAAATCTGTGTTTCAAAGCTATGACCACTTTAAAAAAAAAAAGGGGAACTAATGGAGCTATACACAGCCCAACCTATACTGAGAAAACATTCATGTATGTATTTTGGTCCCAGACCATCAAAAGGTTTCTCCAGCTGGATCCAATCCTTGTAGACAAAGTTGCAGTAGTCTTTGCCGTGCCAGAAGCGAGTGTTTCCCTGTAGCTCGCCAACACCAGTCTTAAGGCTTTGGGCAGAGCCACTCCCTACACACACAAAAAAAGACTTTAGATGCTGTGCCTTGTGAATCCTGACAGCTTACATATAAATGGAAAAAAAAAGACAAGAAAAAAGAGGAATGAAAAGATTCGCTGTGTTATTGCACAGTGTGTTACCAGTTTCCTCATATCTTGTCTGGCTTAATTCACCTGCGCTGTCCACACTGCTGACACTGTCCCCGTGCTGCAGAGCGTGCTTGTGCAGATGTCTGTACAGACTGAAGCGGGCTATCCTGTTGCGACCAATCCCCTTCAGTTTGGGTAATTCCACTGGTTCACTTGGCAGCGTTCCTTGCCCATTACTCTGGGAGACGCTGTCGGCGGAGGACACTCCCTTACCAGATGGAGTGCTGGTGTAGCCAGCCTAGCAAAACGAAAACCGCACGGCTCACACACTCAGCTGACCAACATTACATGCAACTTGAAAAAAGGGATAGCAGTAAACACTGCCGCTGTAAACTGTATATCTGCATGTTAATGTGGCTATGGCTGTTCACACTTGTGCTTTAAAAGGGATAAATATACATTTCTACGAGTAACCTTGTCAGAATTTGCTTTAAAACTTTTACGGGAGTAATGCTCATTTGACATTGAAACACTGAGCAATCATATGAATGTTTTTTAATGGAGAGAGTGTCATTATTTTGTGTTAAAAGCACACTGGAATGATAGATGTGTACATAATATATTAAAGTGAAGAGCTCCCTCTTAAATTACTTGTTTAATTACTTTATTTTTCCATGGATAAACTTTAATAAATATAGATGATACAATTAACTGAAGCAGTTAGCATTGCACTTTAATCTGTAAACTTGATCCTGCCACTGATCCTGCAAGCACGGCTTCTTTCTTAGTCCCCCTCAGCGGCTATGTGGTGTGAAATACTAAATAATAAATAGTGAACTTCCCTCAATTCTCTCATATTTGAACCATTATTCAACAAATGTGAGCCACAAGTCATTTCATTAGCGGGGCGTGTTTGACCTGCTCGAGGGCCACGGAGCGCGTCACACTCCCCACATCAGTCAGCCGGTGCTCTCTATCATCCCACCGACCGTATGCCAGGTCAATCCCGCCCACAAAGGCCACCGACTGGTCAATAACTACGAGCTTCTCGTGATGTGCCCAAAGATACACGGAGGAGGAGACGTGGTCTGGATGACGCATCACCTTTAAAAAAACAGACGGCATACAGTGCACATACAGTTAAATACAGTAAATGCATTTTTTTGCATCAGAAAGCAAATGTTTATATCCTTTTAGATGATTTGATTCAGATCAGATTTACACTGTTTTGACCATAACAGTATGATCCTGTTACGTCATGTCTATGATATATTCCCACTGCATACCTTGATGTTGTGGTGCATGTGCATGAGAGTTCTTTTGCTATAGCCCGAGTTGATGCCCAAGGCGAGCTCCACCTCCTTATACAACATAACAAAGATCCGCACTCCCTGTTGCTGTGGACGAAAGATGCAGAGGATCACATTTAATTTCAAACATATTTTATAGGCTGAAACCATAATTATTCCTTACAAAAATCTATTTATGTGAAAGTATTTAAAACAAGTTAATAAACAATAAAAGTAGAAAAAAATAGGAATTAAGTGGATAAATTACTGTGAACACATTTGGGCATGTCATAAATTTGAGGCACATTGTGAGAAGTTCAGTTAACTAATATGTTAAACTGGAGGAAAATTGTTAACAAAGCCAAAAGACTAATTCTTCAATCGCATCAATAAGTTTAAATATATATATATTCTTGTTTTTTCTCTCGTAATGACCACAAAAACCCACTTACTGCTTTGCGTCTCAGGATACAATCCAACCTCCATCTGTTGCCTTCTACAACAGGTCTTTTCAGAAAGATCTCCGGGCTCAGCCTGTGCCAGAAAGGAAAAGTCAAACAGAGAGCAGTTTTAAGAGGACATAAAGCAAGAAAAACAAAGAAATGACATTTTATTGCACATATTCATAACAGAAACATAAACGTAACGGTAAGCAAGCAGAGCCTCCTGCACATTTCAACCTAAAGTATGACAGACATGACATAATGATATAGTCTCATGAGTCATTCACATTGGCATCCTGAGCTTACATGTCTACAACGCTATTGGTTCAAATTACACAGGCTGACACCTCATTGGTAAAGACCATAAGCCCCGGTGATTACAGCTTTGGAACACTGGGATTTCAGCCACATTAAACAGTTCCACACCAGGCTCTGTGGGACCCTAAACCATTATGTTTAGAATGAAAGCTGCAGAAAAATTAGATTTGAATCATTCATGACAAAGGATTGTTACTCTCCTTCATCAAACAAAAATAATACTCTGGAAACTTTTTCATTCCAAAACCTTCTTTAAGACCTAGTAAAATGGGAAAAGATGGAGTCATAAAAAAGTCATACAAATATTGAGGCAAGAAAATGTTGTTTTGGGACAATTTGGGACAAGTAATGAAAAGGCCACCAGTATGTGATGATCATTTCAGAGGTTTGACCATACAGTAAAACAATAAATCAAGAATAGACAGAGAGAGACAAAAGGGCTGATGGAGACGTGTAAACAGATATGGAGACTACGTTTGACTATTTCTGGCTTAGAGCTGTAACTGGATCCATGAACATGTTCTGCCCCTGTGAAGAGTCCAGATGTAAGGGTGATATATAATGCAGAAAGGTGGCTGGTGTGGAAATACTTCTTTGCATTTTTTCAACTGCTGCCAAATTGTTACTACTTTTTAGAAACATCTATGGAGCACCGGACTAAGTCAATCGTGTCATTATGGATTTGTTTGCAAAAAACTGATGTGATGCTCATATGATGGCATTGCTCTGTAATTTGGGATATTATGTATGACAGCAGCCCAACATTCAAGTCATCGTTTGATTTTTGCTTTTAATCTAGAGGCATAAAAAGAATGTTGGGTTTAAGTTCACTCTCACGCAAGGCACATAAAATATATGAGCAATTATGAGAGTATTATTTAAATTTTTCATTCGAAGATGAATCAAGAACTTATGGAAAGTTATTAAATGCAATGACTGATCTTTATGATATCAGCTCCTCAAGAAGAGGAGGCTATAATTAAACACGGTTAATGTCCAAGAGGCAGTTAGATGGCTAGTTGACACCGGCCGATCTAGCTCAAACAGGCAGCCACCAAACATCCAGGTCAGCCATATGAGGAGCCGCCCCCCCCAGAATTACAAGCTTCAAACTGCCACCAGTTGTGGCAGCTCGCCATCTATAGGCATCCTCTTACACCTCAGATTATAGTAACAGGGCTGTTTATTCTCAACATCTATCCACATTCACGTCCTGCATGTAGAAACATTCAGACTCACCACCAGTCGGTGATAAAGATTTCCTCCTTGGCCTCTTCCATTGCATCAGCCACATCCTCCATGTAGGATTTTCCATTCACATACCTGAAACAGATTACTGTGGTTACAATGGGCAACTTGTACAAGCAAACACTGCTGTCATCCGCAACTGTGTTGATACATACACACTTGCAAAAATGTAAACAAGCACACAGTGTGTTTTGCCTCCAACCACATACAGCAGATGAAGGACTATTTCTGTCTTTTCAGATCTCACTGTGTTCACAGATTGCATCAAAACTGTCTCTAAACCCAAACAATTTCTCAGTAGAATAAAAAATGGAGAGAATTTTTAATGGAAATAGGTGACAAAAGTTCGTCTATCCAACCGTTTATCTAACTCTTGGTACATTGTAAACCTGAAAAGTCTGCTCTCACTGGTTTGTCATTATGAAAAACTGCTCTTCCTTTTTTTTTTTTTTCACCATTCTCACAAGACTTCATCACAGAGTGGTTCAATATTACAGAATCTGCCAGTTGAGTTGGAGAGAATGCAAATACAGAGAGAAAAAAAGGGCAACACAGCCATAAGAGACTTGACCGCTCATTTCTGCCATATATTTCCATAGTTACCAATGAAAGACTGAGAGACAATCTGCTTCTACAACTATATTTATACTACTCACCATTACAACCAATGTGTTTTGTTAAGCATACATCTTTGTACCAATTCCCCTCCTTTGTAAAGTTTTTTACATTTCGAAGAGAAATCTCTCTTGCAAGGTTCTTAACAAATGTGATTCAAAACCTCAGCAGATTTACAGAGTTTTTAGATAGATAAAAGTTAAAGAAATAACACAATCGCAATGCGTAACACTGAATTCATTTCCTCAATAGATAAATTATATAATTTTCCCCACTTGATGAGTTGGATCTTCTTAAAAAGCTTTTATTATATGGAAAAATCAACAAATATTTGACATCTTATGTATATAACCTTTTACCAATGCACATTTATATGTCTGAAACATATAAAGTGTAGCGTTGTGAAACAGATTGACCCCCTTGGTATCTGTTTTTTTATATAAAATTCATTTTCTACTTGTCTTCTTTCACAGTGCCTTTACCATTTGGCAGGGACGTCTTCCTGTTGCTGTGCAAATGACCCAAAACGGTGCTCTCGGAGGAAAGCCTTCCCATGATTCCTCACGAAGCTCTCGATGCTCTGACCCCACCAGCGTGCGTGTCTATAGCTGCTGCATTTAAACACAAGGGTCCTGCCAACAAGATAAACATTGATACAAACTTACTGCAAGTGCACTGAGCTCGGCTCAGAAAGATATATACCGGTTACAGTCACTTCAGGAGAAACATGCCCAAATCAAGGCAACAACAGGGCATGATCTCATTTATAAAGGAGCCCTGGGTTAATAACAGAGGGAAAGCATTCAGTAATAAAAGACAAAACAGCTTTGGAAAACTGAACAGAATGAATCAAAAGCATTTCTTGTTCATTTTCTAAATGGTGTTGTAAATCCTTAAGGCTTTTTTAGGCTTGATTCAAAATTCATGTGGTAACTTTGTGGGCAGCTGCACATAAGTGAATGGTCAAACATGCACACAAACAGACACAAACATGCAGAAAATATAACCTGGAAAGGCTATCAATCCGGACCCCGTGTTTAGTTTCTGTGTCTTTGGAGTCCATTTTGATGCTGAACTCTTTGTCCACCAGAACGACGAAGGAGATAGCTCCAGAGTCTGGCTTCATGTACAGCAAGAAAGAGTCTTTCACCACCAGCCAGCTGCAGGCACAAAAACAGACACTTGTCATCGGCATGATCATCACCATAACGATTTTCTGTGTGTATGCAAAATGCTGCAGCTCTCCACTTGTTGCTGTGGAGGATTTCTTTTGCTGGTTTTAAGGAAAGAGTGTAGGAAGAAAACCATCATGAGGATGTAGGTGGATGTCGAGCATTTCAACCGCGTGGGATTCTTCTTTTTGTGTGCGTGTCTTGTCTACAGAAAAACAGCAATATATGCCTCTCACATCATAATTTGGCTTTCATAAACAGAAAAAGAAGGAGTCCAAAAAAAAATGACAAGCAAAGTTGCAGTTAGTTTTATAAATGAAGCACATGAAATGGGAACATTTTGAATGACAGCTAAATTGACTAAATGGGTCCTGCTAAGTCGATGTGTTTTTAAGATGTGCGGTTAATGCCAGTTCACTTAGATATTCAACATGTAATAAAATCACCTTTCAGCTGAGTTCCACTCATTTACTTTAGTGGTCAAATAGTTTCAACAACCAAATCCATCTGCCTAAATCTGGGTTCATAAAGCCAATAATTGCAATCAGAAAACACGCCAAAAATATGTTGACATGACAACGAAAGCAGTGGGTGGGAACAAAACTCATGCGCACTGCGAGGTAAAAAAGCGTGACATCCACACACCGTTTGGACCAGCGATAACAGGCCTGACTCTGACCACAGCAGTTCATTCCGGGGATGCGATGTCCTCCTGAGCGCTTATAGATCATCCCCTCCCTGTGGCACAAAAGGCAATTAAGTGCAACAGGGTCAATAAGTCTTAGAGTACAGCTGTGCAATCGCACGTGTGAAGGGACAAAAAAAAAAGAATTCCACTAAGGCTATTTTCATCCTGAACCTGTAAACAAATTGACTGGAAGAAAACAATAACTCATTTAAAAGAGAATGCTCACAGTCCTTTCGGCCCCAGGTCATGAATGAAAGACAGCTGACTGACGTCAATGAACTCCATCTGAAAAGTCATGGGAGGAGATGAGTGACTTTCCCATGTCATTCTTCACCTGAAACCCCCCCCCACCCCGATATTATGAAATATACTCCATGAGCAAGAAACAAGTCCACACCCCTAGAGAAAATGTGACTTGTCTGGTATTGTGTCATCACCTCAGATACTGACTTGAAATCATGTTGATGATCATGATAATTCTTTTTTTTTTTTTATAACATCGAGACATAATATTCTGAAGCTGTTTCTTTGGGTCAACATAAAAAAGAAAGTCTGTGTCTTAAACACATTAATAACATCAGATGGTGTTAATAATTAACATACCACCATAAAAGTAAAGTATAGCAACACTGCTAATCATTGACTTTTACGGGGTATTCCACATGGCAGCTGACAGAAATTTAAAGCATCTGGAATTCACCGGAAGTTGAACACGAAAGCATTCACTTAGCTGGGTGTGATTACTCACTGTGTGGTGATACTTGCGGTACAGGGCCATCTTCAGCAGCTTGTTCAGATAGTCTTCTAACTGTCTCTGTAGAAACACGTGCAACCCATTTTAATGACTAAATCAATGCACATCAATACCAGCCTGTACAGACGTGTTTGCACAAACGACGCTTTGGAAAAAAAAAAAAAATTGTGCCTTTCATGGAATACAATGCCATGGCAACAAAAGAGTACCAGTTGAGCTCTGTAGCTCAGTTCAGCTGACGTATTACAGCAAATAAACTTTCCAACCAGGTAAACGAGCAGAGAATCGGCACCTACATTACCACAACGTACCCTCCTGCTGGAGACCTGCTCGTCTCGCACCAGATCGTCTCCTCCGCCCCGGGGCAGTGAGGGCATTTCTCTCACTTCACTCTTTCTCACAGTCTTCCTCCTCACGGTGTGGCTGGAATGGAGGAAATTAAATGGCCAAATGAATAAAAAACGCACAACTCTAAATAGCTTTTTCAATGTGCTCGTAAAAATGCAGTTACATCCCTCGTGTCAGTTTTGAGTTTCATGGCCAGGGGATGAAGGAGAAAAAAACGTTTTCGTGCCTGCTTTTATATAAAATATAATTTATTTCTGTTGCTCTCTCTCTGCTGGTGTTTATATAGTTAATTATAGAAGCTCGGAACAAACTAAGGGCGAGTTCACTGACTGATACTGAAGCTAAACAACAGGCAGCACAGTTTTCAGATGTTCCAGTGGTAGCTGTTCCCGTTGTTAAGAGCCTGACTTTAACTTCAAAGCAAAAATAAATAACATCCTGAAAATACTCACGACTTTGTACCTGAAGGTACTTTGACTTGAATCGGAGAAAAGTCGCATTTCTATGCCAACTGAAGCTTGGCTAACTGAAGGACAGATCTCATTACTTAGATCTCGTTGTTGTTCTATTATGAAAGACTGATTTTATTCATTCTTAATCATACGCACATACTTTACACAGGCCTAAACAGATTGTTATGAGTGACTGAATGTTCATTTCGAGAATGCTTTGTGTGCGAGCGTGGACGCCGACCTGCGCGATGGCAGCGGTATCCTCATGAAGGTCTTGTACGTCCTCAGCTCTCTGTGCAGCTCCATGAAGTGTTTCTCCTTTCTCTTGATCATCCACGTGAACTCTCCGTGCTTCAGCTCGATCTTAAACACCGCTGGCAGAGACTGGAAACACACACAAGGAAATAAACGCATCTAACGTTTAATTAAGGCCTCAATAATTAAAAGTCCCTTTGTCTTTGAGCAGAGGACAACTGAACTTGTGATATTCAGTTCCCCCCCAGGGGAATAGAGATGTACTCATTATAGGTAGGGCTACTCATTAGGGATGTCTGGTAAATGTGGTTGTGTGCCTGTGCAGTACCTTGTTGACACTCCTGTGGTGTGACAAATTGAAGCGGTCCTGTGCCGTGGTGAACCGCTCCACCTCCATGATCCGTGCCGTGATGGGCACGGTGGGCATGTAGACCCGAGCGGTGGCCTCCTTAAAGCCCACGGTGGCGTATATTGCTGAAAATGGTATGCAACAGTCACCTGGGAGAGAAATCGAGATAAGCGGTTAGTGCGACTCTTTCCCTTTTTTTCTGTTTGCGTGTGTAGGAGTTCGTCAGGCTGCTTAGAAGCGAGTAGGCTGCAGCACTGAGAAGTCAGCCTTTCATCTCTGGATTTTTTAATCTTGTACATTTTCCGCAAAAGAGCAAATGTTGCTTTTTGTTCTGAGCAGAGTCTGAGAGCTTTATTCATTCTGTTATGGAAGCATCCACCTTTAATCTCTACCTAGCTGTTGTATGACTCCTAACATTCACCAGAGCATGAATTCACCAGAGCATGATGTAGATGAAAACAGACCTACAGCATGGGCCATAAGTATTTATTAGACTTTTAGGTTTTGCCTGCATAATGGGAGAAATAAGGGCAAGCTTTTACCAGACAAAAATAAAAATAGACTACAAAGGAACACACACACCTAAGTAATTTCCATCATAGTCCATCTCCTCTCCTTCCCCAATGTCCAGCTCTCTGGCGTCCAGGCTTTCCACGAGGTCGGCCATCTTGATCCCGTCGCGTTCGTCTGGCGCTGCTGAAGTGTTGCAAACTTCAGAGTTCACCAAGTTGAGGCTACTAGTCGTTGGCTGAGCCTTACCCAGCATGCTTAGCAGCAGTCAGGCCCCAGAGCAGGGCTTACCTAGATGAGAGAGAGAGGAGATGATTACGTCACAGCAGTCATGTGTTACTGAAAAAAAAAAGTAAGTTTCTTGGTGACTGTTCCTCCCTGTTCACTCCCACTGGGGAATAGAGTCATCTGACCTTACAACTTCACATGGCCTAACCATGACCCAGCTGTTCTACCATTCATCAGATCACCCCCATGAGTATTCGGGCTCCCAAATGATTTGCACAACGCAGAATCGGCTGCATTTGGTGCACCGTAATTGTGGTCAGGTCTCACATAATGCATCATGAAACTCCTACAGATGGGTCAGAGCAAAACACTGACGTTTTCTTTTTTTAAGGAAAATGGGTAATTGTCATTCTATCAAATTTTGCTGACTTCTCATGGCGGAGTCTTATTTAACTCACTAACCCTTGCCTGCAAAAGGACTACAGGGACGGCACCCAGCTACCTAAACCCAGTCATTTGGATTTGCTTTGTCTCAACCACTGTGTCTCCCTCAGGAATGTTGGCACAAGGCATTCTCCACGCAAGCTGTTTTCATTTATGGTTACACCATGGAAGAAGCAGCTACCGAGATTCCTGCTTAATTTAAATCTACAATGACGCTAGAAACTGCGCAATTTTATTTCAAACCCTACCTCTGTGCTGACAACATCAACTAAAATTGTTTAACAAACAGTTCTGGGGAAATCTAAACCTGTTAAACCTGATTTCACATCATTCTGCTTCAAACACGGTCCAATTTCATCCACGGTCTCATGACTATCTTAATCTCGAAATGTGAGCCATGATACAGACAATGTTTGGAAAATATCTGTGAACTCTACTGTTATTTCCCCCCTGAGAACAGCTGACAAAAAGAAACTCCCATTCATGTGCAACACCCCTGAGATGTGTGCTAAATCATCCAAGTCAACCCATTCTCACGCGGTCCACTTTACAGACCTCCTTTAGAATCTGAATGGGGAGGAAAAACAAAGAGGATAGAAGCAGATTCTGAAGAAAACATTTTAATTAAGGGTAGTTTAGCGATGCACTACAATTTGAGACAATCCTCCACTTTTTCTTTTGTTTTTGTTCTTTCTAATTGGGATTTTTTTTTTGCAAATACTTTACAAGCTTTGCAAAAGTGCTTGACTAAACTGAAGTGTGAAGTGAAGGCATTTGATTTGGATTCTTTCCAAAAAAATGCTGTGATTTGTGTTTACAGATAACCGATTCCCCCTTCTCCTCCCAGTGGAATGACATGAAAACACAAAGCAGAACCTGCACACAACACAAAAATGTAAACACAATCTGATTTTTTTTTTGTTGTGAAGGCTGATCGCTAATTATTAAGCCGTGAACAGAAGTCGAAATGTCTTTTTAAATAAGTGAGAACTACACAACAAATGGTAACACAGATGGACTGATATCAGCTTGACGGTAAACATCCCGTTAACATTCCTCTAAACAAGATCCAACATGCTCACGTAGAGGAGTCACCAGCAGTGACTGAATGGCTTCTTCCTTCCAGGATACCCTGAGTAACAAACTTTCCTCCATTCATCCAGTCATCATTTTCAGCCATTTTACTTTTTACAATCTCAAACTAGTTGTTGTAGCAATGGGAAGGCGAGAAGAAGAAGAATACTGGCTTGTGCAGCCCCAAATTGTTGTGTGGTAGGCGTGGATGGGCTGTTTTGCATGTTTTGTGGTAAATGTGAGAAATTTTAGTTTCCAGAGGAATTTAGGACATGTCCCCCTCACTAATAATATCTTTAACCCCCAGCAGACTTGACCCACACAGGAAGTTAACTTCCAGGATATGGAAACCAGAATACGGTTCCAAAGTTAAGAGACAGAGATGCAAACAAATCAAAGGCATGTTTACACACAATCGGGTGAAAAAGAAACTATGCTAAGGTTCACAATGTCAGGACATAACATCCTCTGGCTCATTGCAGACTTTCAATTTAGCCCAATACAACAGCACATATTTGACAGAATGCCAAATATGTATTTGTCTTCATTATCTATCTATCTTCACTCAGGTTGAGCTCTGGACTTTGACTGGGCTATTACCACCCACTGTTATGAAACCCGCCAGTGTGCTGTGGTCCACCACAGCTGCTAAATGGTGTTTGTGATGTCATCTCAGTGTTAGCTTTTCATACAGAGTGGTGCTGTGCCTTGTGGCCAACCATCTTTACTTTGGAGTTATCAGTCGTCTGACATATTTCCCGAGGTTTCGGTGTTGCTCAGAGGCAAGGTTGTAAATCTGAGCCGTGGGGCCTGGTTCTGTTCAGAGAAGAGAAGGTTTTCTCTTTGCAGAATTTTCCAAAGAAGCCATAGTTGTAAAGTTGTGTTGTTTTTTGTTATTTTTTACTGTATTAACTTTAACATCTAACATGCAACTTGAGGCCTCTCGAGCCTGAAATTTAGCCGTGGGGTATTTTTGCAGTTTCTCTGATCATTACAGTCTGACCTCGAGACAGCTTGCTGGGCCGTCCAATCGTGGGCAGATTGGCTGGCGTCTTGGATGTTTTTCACTTGTCAATAATCATCTCACATCACACTGTAGAATTATTTGAAAAGGTTGCTCTAAGCCTTCTCAGCTTAATGGTCAGAGACAATTGCTCCTGTAAGACACTTGCCTTTCCTCCTTGGTCCTGTTAACACCCACAGAAACGCTCCAGACCAGCAAGTTGCATCAAACTTTTATAGAGGTGCTCACATTTGCTGATTAACAATTCATCAGGTGCTTTAGATTAGCAACACCTGGCTGCTATTTAACCTTTTTCTATAAAAGTGCTGAACGTGGACTTGGTTTTCACACATAGCTTCAGCTCTTATATCCAGATGCTCAAAACCTGCAACAGGGTGTGCCATTGTGCTCACATGGCTGCATGCAAACACAAACACCCGGAGAGGCTTGTGGTTATCGGCGTCTACAATATGCAACCTCAGAGAAGAGAGTTATCTTTCCACTCCATTCTAATGGACACTGCCTACTTCCTGCTTCCTGTTCCCTTTTCCTGGTGATAATTCGCACGGTATACTGTTTGTCTATAAATACAAAATAAAATAGAAAAGAACATCCATCTCTTCCATCATGCGCCAACATCCCTAAAATGTCAATTAGTGCAAACTCCCTACTCACACCTTCAGTTGAGCGACTGTGCAGCAAAGATCAGCGTTTCTAACTTTTTATGGCATCAAATACATCACTAAGGATGTAAAAGACGCCAAAGGAAGTTTACCTTTTTGAGATAATGTAGGTTTTAGTTGCTGAATTGGGAAAACTCATCCTTGAGTTTATTATCCCCCAGTGGGACGCAGGCTTTGTCAAGCAGTCTCAGTTTTATCAGATTTAATCAGAATCAATAAACATGGTGTTCAACATTTAAAAGTGGACAAACATATTTTACCTAATTGATAATGAAAAATGAGTTAACCTCATAAACACCTCTTTAGGATTCAATCGTGAGCATATCTTTTCCTCGACTGTGGGCAGATACAGCTAAGCAGAGCTCCTGTCCTGTGCATCCAATCTCAATTTGAAGAAAATTGGGCAGGAACTGAGCTCACTGTCTCCCAGTTAGTAGCTTCTGTGCAAAAGCAGGATCCATCTTTTGCTAGTACTTTTTTTTTATTATATAAATGACACTACTTGTCCATCTTTCTATATCTTTTATCACAGATGATATTGCATCTTTCCAAAACTGTAACTATTCTCTAACCGTTTCCCATATAACACATGCTTTTGCATTACATTTGAAGTTTTATCAATGTCTCTAAATACACCTACTTACCTACCTACTTAGAAATGTCATCTTCAAATATATCCTAAAATCAGGGAGGATGTAATCTATTGAGGGAATATATGATAGTGTTATCGATGAGTAAATACTTTATTCTAGATTACACAATGTCAATCGACAATAAATACAATACAGGACATCCGGTTTACGCATTTATCTCCTTCATTTTCTTACTCGTGCCACTAACAGAGGCAGGAAGAAGGACAAAAACAAAGAGCTGTAACTTATAATTTGGTTCCACTGACCCTTCTGAGCTTCACTATACCATAGCACACTTCCCTCTGAGGTTTTACTACATGGGCACATGTGTTGTAAAATTCATGAGTGTGTCTTTTTGCAGCACAGCTGACAGTAGGCCTGTTTCTGCTGCAGTGCAAGGACACCCTGAGGACAGATAGAAATGAAGACAAGGTTGCCATGTCCATGTGTCTCTGCAACCACCCCCCAAAAAGAGAAATTAAAAAAATCTACATTTCATATCGATCGTGTGGCTGTAGCTGTCCAACATTGAAATGAGGAAGAAAGTTGTGTGTTTTGCAGAAGTCTTTTCCTTTTCAACTCTTTTGAATAAACCTAAATGCTACTGAGCCCCTTCACTTCCAAATTTATTGTCAATCAGATATATAAGAGACATATTTCTGTAATACTCTCAAGCCGATCAATCCCAATAACAAACAAGGGCTTGCAACAGATTCATGTGTACATAGAGCATGCCTCGGTCTCCATTGCCTCATGCCTCAATCATCTATTTTAGATGCTTTAAGTAAGGAATAAGACAAATGTACAACAAATAAGACAAATGTACAGGTTAAATGTTTCCTTTACCCCATTAGACAGTGAACTTTGAAGTTTCTGTGAATTAGGGGTTGTGGTCAGTCCTTTTCAAAGAAAGCTGATGTACACACAGTGTTTGAGAAAAATAACACTTTGATCTGTAAAGAAAGGATTTTGCATGCTGTGAATGTCTGTGGAAATTGGGTTGGGTTCGCAGAAGGAGGCCCGAACCCAATAGAACCTCAACTAAAAAGCACCAAGAATGTTTTTATACCAAACATGCTGGGCTTTATCTTGATATTTTTTAATCAGAAGGTTCTGGGTGCGCCCTGCAACATTTCGTCAGAAGCCTGACTCTTTGATGATTTGGATATAGCAGGCTGGATGTCTGGAAAGGTTCCATCTAGACTGATAGCTATCTACAGAATTTAAAGCCCTATATGCTCCCATCTGGATGATCTCTTTTCCAGAGAAGGCTTGGCTTGTTTTAGATTCTTACTGCAAATATTCCAGCAGCATGACTTGACTGCGGAAGAGGCCAACTGATGAGGTGCCCAGCTTGAAACTCGGGCCTTTCATCAATGGAAAAAGCATGTCCATCATACAAGAAAAACATTTGGAATCAAAGACTGATTTCTAGGATTTTTCAAATCATGACATTATCTTTAAATATATATATACATATATATATTTATCTTCCAAACACTCAAAGCTTTCATCTCTCCGCAACAGGTGTGCTTGCATTACATACTTAAAAATGTCAAAGGATTGAAAAATGAACAGTGTAGGAGGACCGCACATCAATGAATGTCATCATCAGCAAACATACTGTTACTGATTAGACAGAGGTTGTGAAGGGAAATAGGTAACTTGTGGAATGTGTCATTTATTCCTGGCTGTGTTATGATAGGCACGGCATTTAAAAAGTACTGAAGCAAAGATGGTGAGCCATTTTAAAGATGCTATACATGTGAACACTGATCGTTGCATAAAAGCCCACTCACACGTGCACACGCTTGCACACGTACAGTCCAACAAAGATAACATAAATGTGACTTGGCATTTATAAATTTGTGTGGTGCCAACCTCCTCGTGGCGCAGATGGTACAAAGAGAGAGGAGATAAATAGATAGATAGATAGATGGAGGAAGGGAGGGAGGAAAGCAATAAGAGAGGTCTGTGACACCTCTTTTTCTCTGCCCACACTAAAGCTGCCTATTATCTAATCCTTCACACCATGGATAGGGGGATTGGGATGGTCAGAGAGGCAGAGAAAGCAAGACATACAGTAGATGCCAGAGAAAGAGGGAGCGATCGTCATCATCGCCGGAGTGGCTTTCTGCTGGTGCGAACACAAGCCGGCATTGTACCGGGCGAGTGCGGGAACGGCTCCCTCTGCCTGCTTCTGCCAAACCTGGCCTGACCACGCCACGATGGCCAAGTCTGAGCCAGGAAAATACCAATCCATGATTTGTGCCCAGACCAGTGAAGTGACTCATGATTACAGAGGATATTTGTGCTATTGACTTAAAGGGTTGGTTCATCCAAATTACTACACACAAAGTGAGGAAAAAAAATACAGTGGAACTCCCCTGTCTTTCAGAGCTTGAACAGCCTAGCCTTTCCACTTCGTCTATCCACAGAAGCTGAGTAGGAATGTCCACTGTTTAACCACATTTACGTGTAAAATCTGTTACCTTCATAACCAAGAATAGCCACATTTTTTAAATCTTTAATCGTAGCTACGTGAAATATGTATGTTCTCTTGAACTCATTAACACCTTTAATTGCCAATTTGTTTATATATTCAATGCATACCCATGAATCTTCCGCAAGCCCTAGGTTGTTCATTGAAAACAATCGGTTTCAAATCTAATTTACAAAGAAATGTTCACATATATTTGTGATTGACAATAAATTCAGCAGTTAGCTGGTTAATGTCCCAGTGCATTACATTAGTAGAATATAATTTCAGGCTATTCTAACACAATACCAGTGTCAGTTTGCTTTTTTTCCCACAAAGCTTCACTGTGTCCGCAATATATACGAGTCACCATGTTACATCTGGAATACATTTACAGTGGTATGCCGCCTTGGCAAAAAAGAATTTCATATCCTTCAGATATCTTCTGGGGATAAAGGAAAATCTCAGGAGTATAAAACTTACCACACTACTAAGAAAAAAAACTTTAACCACTGTTCACTGTCATGACTGGTAGGCAGGAAAACCGCATCAAGACCCACATAAAAAAAACAGGTACATGTTGACATGCTTGAGGCAGAAGTAGCCATAGTAAGGTCTATTATATCAGTATGCTGGCACCACAACAGAAAAGTGCTGAGGTCATAGCGCTTCCTCTGCAAGTGCAAAAGATTACGGAATGCCAGAGGTCAGTATCATGCGTATACATTGCAAAGAAAACAGAAGAAGAGTTGCGTTGGAGGGGAGAGGGCTTTGTGTTGGTGTAAAGCATAGGAAATATCTCCAGTCTTCCTATTACATTCCAGCTGCACCAACAAACTTTCACAACAGGGCATGAGAAAGGCAACAGTAGGCCAACACACAAACACACACACACAAGCTGACACGCACACAAACACACGCCGAGGCTGTATTGTGCCAAACTTAACACCCTACTAGAATATTTAATTGGTACAAAATATAAGAGGAAGTCATCTCTACACCCACTTGCCATATAAGTCATTTAAATGGCCAAAACAAGAATGTAACAAACTCTCAAGAGTGTAGCAAAAGCTTTGGCAAAATCTCCAATATACCTTTAAACATATTCCACATGGCAAACCAAAACCAAAGAATGTGACAGGGTGTATCTTCAAAAGCCCACGGACACAAATAGAACAGAGCAGACACAGAAACACACAGAGAGGGAGGTATTACCAACCTGCTCGTGTTGTGGACATGCAGTCCACATGTCGCTTCTGTCTGATAAATCCACAAGATTTCACTGAATGGATGAAAACTGAGGCAGACACACACACACACACACACACTGCCTGAGCAGACAAAGAGCCAGCAGCAGCAGCAGCAGACAAGTTCTGCGATTTGGCTTTTCTCTTCTCAACTCAATAAGAGTGGCTGGGAAAAACTAACAGTGAACTGTCTCCAACTCCTCAGGAAGGGAGGGCTCTCTGAAACTCTACACCAATCAGAGGAAGAAATTCTGCCCAGGAGCTTTCTTCATTGGGTTACAGAAAGTGCTGGACTTGTGGTGAGGTGGGAGGAGTCCTCAGGGGAAAAAAACTGACACTGGTTCTTCCTATTTTCTCACCATTTCACACACATTAGTATCTATTAACATGTGGTTTCTGTACATGTTTGCTAGTATCACCGTCTGATACGAGGGCTGTGAGCCCCAGTGTGTTTGAAAAAATAAACAAGAAAACAGAAAAACTGGTTGAAACCTCTGCTTTGTTTCTCTAACAATCAAACAAACAACAAAATAGTTTGTGCAAAAAGAAAAAGATGAGTTTGATCCGTGCCTAAAACCGGTGTCTGTGCTGACTCTGAAAGGGCTCGGTTAGCTGGAGGATCCACAACACAACCATTCATTAGTCTGGAAGCCTCACAGAGACAAAATGACAAAGCTGCGCCTTCAAATAATAAAAAATTCATTTCTTCCTCCACCTAGAGGTTAAATAGACATACTGCAACATGCATGGAACAAACACACCCCTCACACTGGATCTGTGTGTATCATCATCACATGGACTTTAACCTGTAATCTACCACAATCTACCACTACCCTTTGGGTGTGTTTAAGATTAAATGATCCACTCAGCAATTCTTCAATGCCTTCACCAGTCAAAGAAAACAACCGAGAAATATGCGTCTGAAATAAGCAAGTATTGAAAACAAAGCAACAAAATAATCAAATAAAGAACAACGTTTTTCCCCACTAATATGCGCCAACTCCCAGCTCTTCCAGATATGATTACATTTCTTCATTTGGTTGGTGGAAAAAGCTATATTGTCAAATTGTTAGTCTTTTAACATGACTGAAACTGCTATTCTGTTATGTAATTGTTTCCCGTGTAAACATACTCGCTCGCATATATCCAAGCTTGGAAACTCTCACACATCATATTCCAACAAGAAGAATGTGAACTTACCAGATGTGATGGAAAGTTCTTACGAAATACACGACTGCCTCGATGAGTGCCCCGCTGGTGTTCTGTCCATTAGTCTGAGCTCTCTCTGGATACATTTATCTCCACCTCACTTTGTTTCCTTTCCAGAGAACGCATACACACACACACGTCACGAATGATAGGTCATAAACATAATGGTTTCTCGTGGTGAACACAGCACAAAGGGCAAAGAGAGATAACAATATATGAAACAGAGGGATCACATCCAGGCAGTAAAACAGAAATGTGCAAAGATTATTGAAAACGTGTAAACAGAGGTGTTTCTATATGTGAATCATGCCGTAATATGATTCATACTTGTACTGAAAAAGCCAATATGCTTAAGTTGATAGAAAATGAATGAGAAAATTGGACAGAACAAAACCTAGGAGGAAAATTGTGACAGAACAGCCAGAGGTCTGTAAGTGGTTTAGAAACTAGAAGCTAGCATTGCTATTTGCCCTGCAGTGCCTCAGGGATTCATACAAACCATCAGACTTCCCAGGAGGAGGAAACCTTGCTCTTGCAGTGAGGATGAGGTGAACTCAATTGGGGGGATGGTGAAATAAATTCCTTTATTATCTCAGCCTGAATGTGCCAACTATAACAGAGGCATCCATGGCATGAACTTCACGGAGGTCTCATTTATTACCAGAACAGCTGCAAAGGTAGTTAAACTGCTCAGAGACAACAAGGGTGGACAAGAGTTGCCTTTAGATCTTTAAAGTGGTCTTATAATGACTTTTTGAACAAGAATGGCCCGTTTGTCAGGATTTTTTGGTAGCACTGGAAATCAAGTGCTCAACCCCACCCTTTTGAGGGTGAGGTCAGCAGATACTCACTCCCAGTAGGGACACACCTCATCCACACAGCTGAAGGTTGTCTGAATTACAGAATCTGACCATTATGCTGGAGAGCAATAAGAAAAATAATGTAAAAATCATGTTAATTTAGCAATGATTGAAAGAGTGACATCAACTTAATAACCTAGCTACTGCTACATGAAAAAAGCCACAAATTATTATTTTTCACTTAGTTATTTTTTTATCATCTGCACTGAGAACTACTTGCTCTTTATGGATCAGTTTTTTTAGGCCAGCCCTGAACTGGATCAAGTTGTTAAGGCTTGGAATAAGACTCAAGGCAGATGGAAGATGCTTGCTCCTCATTACTGCCAAAAAAAAACATTTTCCTCAAGAAGCCAGGTTCTTCAGTCAAGCACTGTGGTTGTGAGTCAGTGGTAATAAAGTAAACTAAACTTGAAAAGGCTCCCGACAAAGGGAACTTTCAAACAAAAGGAAAGTTAAAAAGTGCCAGTGTTGTATTTTAGTGGGTTTTATCTTTACCTTCGTCGATGCTAGTTCCATTATACGTCCCCTTCGATGCTCTGGATGCCCATGGTAATGGTGGGGACCAAAGGATGTATTCCAAACACAGGGGATCCCTCCTTTCTGCCACTTTGAGGAGACAGTGCCTGGATGTTGAGGAAAAGAGTGCATCTGATGGTTAAATTTCTGATTTAGGGGGAACAAAATGGCTTTTTTTCCTGACTGTGGAACACCAGACCTGCTTTGTTGTCTCACTAGGACCAGTGGAGCGTACCTGGGAGTTTGCCAAATCAACACAATTATTCCATGCATGTTTTTGAGTCCATGATACGTTGTTCTATTGGCTTCATTAAGAAAAATACCTCCTCCAAGTCAGAGGTTATGGGTCTCATGGTGGAATGCGCTTTCAGATTAGGGATTAGGTGGCTGCTTCAAGTGAAGGAGTTTTAAAATTCTTGCTCACGAGTGGGGGTAGAACAGATTGTGAGACACATCTTGGGTTTTTATGTTCAGCTATGCTGACTTTGTGCCTAAGTGAAAAGAGAGCTCTCATGGGTGGACATTTCTCACCAGGATGAGTTCTCCCGAAAGTCCTTAAACATGCTGGTGAGATGTACTTCTTGGCTGGTTGTATAATATATATATTTTTTTTTTATCGGTTTACATGGTTACCTAAGCATCTGGCCCTCAAAGTACACCGTTGCCTCTGTAAAAATGTAAAAAAAAATCAACACAAATATATAAATAGATGGGTGACACCAGCAGGGCACAAATTCAACAATATAAGCAAAGTTTTTGCATGTTAATACTTACACATTCATGGATACAAAATGGCTGCAGTTTTAGCTGTAATTCTGAGTTCTTTTGAATACTTTGTATATTATTATTCAAGCATGGAATAAATCATTTTAATGAGCCTAAAAGACAATTATAGTTTGAGAATTAATTAGATGCTGCATAGTTCATGTCTTATCGTTTAATCCTTTTCCTATTTCAGCCATTTCTGTTAAGCAGACCGGCCAATTATTTTGTCGGCAATTTGAGGGTGATATGGCCTATTTATAGCCATTATTATATATAATAATGGCTATAATGGGATTCAAGGAAGCTCATCTCAAACTTCATTGCAACACCAGCTTTAATCAGGATGAAATGGGAATATATTTTCTTCACTTTTGAAACCAAGAAGATATTGTAGCTGATATACAGAAAATGGAAAATCTGACTGTGAACATGTGAATCCTGCCTCCCTCTTCACTCTGTTAAGACTAAACCAAGCCTTCAGTTAAATCTAGACATTAGAGTCCATCCCAGACCTGAATTATTTGTAAAAGCATTCCTGGAAGTAATTTGGTCAAGTTAAACTGTACTTGAAACTAAATGGATCTTTGAAATAATGTAAGTACATGCTGATCATTTTAATAAGAAGAAACCGCGAAATTTGTTTCAAATTACTTAAATTAATCCTTTTGAGCTTTCCTTTTTGGTAACCTCATTGTAGGATGAATTGCCTAAACTAATCAGAGCCTATTCTGACACCACTGAAATTGTTTCTTGTGAAACTTCTCTTGTGTTTATCGTGCTTTGCTCTCAATTTTGCTAACACAAATCGCTTGACCAGTTGTGCCAGCTCCCGGGCATCAGGAGACTGATAGTCCAGAAGGTGGTGCTGCAGCGCCGGACTCACCGCGGACCTGCACACCTCCCCTCACTGAGCAGCCCCACTTTACCTTCCTCTGCTGTTTTTGCGCACCGGGAATCAGGGTCCACTCACTGGATATGAACCAAAACAAACGCATAAGTGAGTGTCAGGCTGGACGTCTTATGCGTTTTTCTGCTTAATTCCTCTCACATCTTCTGATGTCTCGTTTTTTCTTCCCTGAATATGTTGAGAATGCGTCGGTCCTTTGTGGTTTTTGTGAGTTTGATCAAATTGTCTCCTTTTCGTCACACGGTTTTTATTTTCACAGTGGTTGTTGTTTACCCGTTTGTGGGGGAGTTTGAACCTCGGTGTTCTTCCCAGGACAGATGTTAACCGCTGCTGCTGCATCATAGGACCCGAGTCTGACTCACCATCACCTGCTACCTGATGCCACTCGCAAACACATCTACTGTTTTGGTTTTGTCTGGCGTGTTGGAACTTGGTGAAGAAGAGAACTGTTTCAGGAATATTTGCGCTCAAAGGATTCCAAGTAGCTGTAAGTTACACTGAATGAATTTGTGCCGTATTTGATTGATAAAGCAATTTATTTGTCTGGAAAATACATGACAAGTAAACTGATTTATAAAAGCGACGAGAACGTGTGAATATTCAGAACTGCTTTTTGGATTCGTACATCTGAGCCACTATGCGTGTGGCAGAAGAGGTGGATGCCACGAATTGTTATTGGTATAATGAGGATCTTTCCCTGGACAATTTCAGACAACACCTGTCATCTTTTAATTGAGAACTGTTTCGTCTAAGGTAAAGAAAAAAAACGAATTTTGCACGCAAAGGCTGCCATGGATTTCTGATTTTACGCACGCGTGCCATCCACAGCCCTGCTCTGCTATTTGCTCCAAAACCCCAGACAGACATGACGGAGGGAAGGAGCAGCAGCACGGGGCACGAGCAGTCCCAGACTCGGGGTGACTTCAGCTGTCAGGGCCAGGAGCGGTCCCGTAAATAACTGCCAGGCGACAGCATGCCATCTTGGCCCAATGACTCGGAGTGCCTCTCCCGTAACTGCAGCTGGGGGGAGACCTACAACTCGACAAGCGACGTGGATCACTCTCTGCCCCCGCTGAATTACTATTCAATCCCGCTCCTCACGGTCATCACTGTCGCCTGCACGCTGCTTTTTCTGGTTGGGGTGGCCGGGAACGTCATGACCATCCTGGTAGTCAGCAAGTACCGGGACATGCGCACTACCACCAACCTGTACCTGTGCAGCATGGCCGTATCCGACCTGCTTATATTCCTGTGTATGCCACTGGACCTATACCGAATGTGGAGGTACAGGCCCTGGCGCTTCGGGGACGCGCTCTGCAAACTTTTCCAGTTCGTATCAGAGTCCAGCACGTACTCAACCATCCTGAGCATCACTGCGCTGTCAGTGGAGCGTTACCTGGCCATCTGTTTCCCTTTACGCGCAAAAGCTCTGGTCACCAAGAGGCGTGTGCGCGCCTTGATTTTTATCCTTTGGACTGTGTCCCTTCTGAGTGCTGGCCCCGTCTTTGTGATGGTGGGTGTTAAGAGAGACGGCATGGAGCAAACACATTTCAGTTCGTGGATGAATGAGACTGACTTGTTTCTGGATGACGGGGACACCAGGGAGTGTGGGATGACACAGTACGCCGTGGAGTCGGGCCTGATGGGGGCCATGGTTTGGCTTAGTTCAGTTTTTTTCTTCATGCCGGTCTTCTGTCTGACTGTTCTCTACAGTCTTATAGGCCGCCGGCTGTGGCAAAGGCACAGAGAGACGAACATGAGCTCCCGTGTGGCTCACAGGGATAAAAGCAACCGACAAACCATCAAGATGCTTGGTAAGTTTATAAGGGGGCTTAATGATATATTAGATGTTTCGAATGTTTTTTGTTTGTTTGTTTTGATTTATTCACGACATACGCATAGTTTTTTTAGTTTTTTTAACTTAAGTATGTGAGGGGGATTAAATCATTTCATCAAAATCTGCATCCCCTTGTAATGCTTACCTTTATAAATGCTCTGGTCTCTCTTCTACCTCTTTCTAGTGGTGGTTGTGTTGGCCTTCGTCCTGTGTTGGCTCCCGTTCCACGTGGGTCGGTACCTGCAGTTCCGCTCCCTGGACGCGCCGTCCCCTCTGCTCCTGGTGCTGTCAGAGTACTGTAACATGGTGTCCGTGGTTCTCTTCTACCTGAGCGCTGCAATAAACCCCATCCTCTACAACACCATGTCCTGGAAGTACCGGAGCGCGGCCGCGCGCCTCTTCGGCCTGACCGAAACCCAGCCTTCCCGAAGCCGCACGGCCAGCTCAGTGAAAGGAGACGTTTCCAACTGCTGGACGGAATCTACAGCCAGTTTCTAAACGCACGGCAGGCCAAATGTTAAGTCAGTTTACTATGATGAATGTTGTCACTTGAACGACACCCTTGGGGAGGAAACAGAAAAGCGTAAAAGCTACAAGAACCAGGGAGAAAAGTTGCAAAAAATCACAAAGGTTTGCATGATTAAATGTGATTAATTCAATGACATCTCCTACTGGATTTTTCCACAAGTGCCATTCATTGTTCATGCAACACAATCAGCAATTTAGCAGAGGTAAAGATTTAAAAAAAACAAACCTACACACCTCCTTGAAGTGCTTCTAGTCTGCTGTATGGACCTAAATCTGCACAGGAGCACTCACACACACATGCACATTTATACTGTACATGAAACCACTGACATTTACAAATGCCTTATAGTGTATTCAGATTCTGGATGACAAAGAAAGCACTGTAGAAATTGTGGCACTGCTCTGTTTTTCTTCGGAGGGATGCAGGGCGTGCTCGTGTGTGTGCCTGTGAAACACGTATTTGCATGTGTGTGTGTTGTGTAGCAGGCTGTGATTGATAATGATGTGTCTGTTTTCATTATCTAACATGACCAGTGACCCTTATCCTGGAGCTTGTCATTTCCATGATGTGTTCCTGCTGCCAAAAAGAGAAACTAGGGTTGGTGGACACAGTTCCTGACATGGAGAGAATAGTTTTTTCCCATTTCAACCTAACAGTACTTTTTTTTTCTATTAGTCAGATAAGGTGTGGAACATTTTAAGGACATGGATCAGTCACTGCTTTTTGTGTTGACGGTTGCGGATATAACAGTCAACATGATCCAGTTGGGGACATCTTTCCACCCAAAATAGATTATTCAAATAAAAATAAATAAAAAAGGTACCTCTGAGAGGTATTACTTTGATTATTTTCAGTTCATCAGGAAATATCTGTTCAATAAAGTATAATCTACGACATCTTGTCAAAACATAACAAAAAGTCATATCAGTGCACAAGTGGGAGAAATAATTTTGAAGGTGCATAAAATCTAATTAGATCCAAGAGTATGATCAGATTTGATGAAATAAGATGGTGTTTAAATGAACATGGCATGTCTCCATAACACTACAATTACATGCTCAGTCTTGAAATACTGTTAATTTTCTATCACTTTTGTGTCAATTAAAAAACAGTACAATGCCCTCATGTGAGTTAAACCCATTTTTCTCCGAGTTATATTTTTTGCCTCCTTTGACTATGTTTGGTGGGCTTCCTAACTCTAACAATAAAAATAGCCTCAAGTATTAAATAGCTTTTATTTTATTTGGAGCACAAAATTATTCCCAGTCTAAAAATTGTGTCTCAAAACTCTTAAATATGCTTTGTTAAAACGACATACTATGTATTATTGGTACCTTTACATAATATGCTGTGTCAGGCATTGTGAACTATTTATTTTCCATCTTGACAGACATTCCCAGCTTTCCGGAATGTCACAGCAGAATTTGGATACAATTCCCTGTTGTCTGTACGTCTCCAATTGTGTGTAAGATGCTAAAAAAAAGAAAAAACATACATTCTTTTTCATTTGGAAAACTATGTCATGTGTTGTGTTTCCTTTTGCTTTCATGAGATTAATGATCAATCTGTGATGATGTTCCTGGTTTGGTTTGTAAATAGTTGCTTTGCAAGGCTGAACACCCAATGCTGCACAGTCAGATGGTTCCGGCAGCCCAGTCTCTCATCTGCACTGGATCTAACACACTCCTGGCAGGGAAGAATGTATTTCTGTAAAAAGAATGTATATGAATTTAAATACAGAAGAAGCTAATTACTGATCCACCTAATGTGTCACTTCATTTTTGCAAACGATCTTTTGCCGCTTAATGTATCTGTCTGTGATAAAGTCTCCCAAAAGTAAAACGAAAAGGAAAAACTTGATTTTGTCTCTCTTTTTTGCACACAGTATTTATTCTTTGGCTGACTTTTGCTCAAATAAAAGATAAGGGTTTGGGCCCTAACTTATGTAAGATGCCATTTGTGATTCAATCAGGTGGAACTAACAGATCCTTTCAACATTGAGCACAAAGGAGGCAAAACCCACAGAAAATATGAACAAACATAAATCACATCTCAATTGGTTCCTGTAATTATTTCCCTGTATGACCCTTTTAAGAGGTAGAAGTTGTGCCTTTCCTGTTAGCTGTTAGTTTTAAGTGGTGTCTCAGTGGCCAATAATCCAAGCTCATCACTTCACGTTATTTCACTGACATCAGAAGTACTCATGTGTGGGACAGACCCCTTCACTTTCCAAGCGTATGATCAAAACACAGTAAGAGGCCTGTGAGTACAGACAATTGTGTAGACAAATAATAGGAGAACTGACTCATGGCAAGACAGTGGGTTAGGCCTCTGGAACAAGTGAGTTTAAATAAATGCTCAAACAGGCTCGAATGAAAAAATGCTCTGAAAACTGAAAAAAAAAAAACAAGGTGAAAGAGGGGGAGTTCAATCAGTGAGTCAGATGATACGGGAGTCTACTCAAAAATTGCCTGTGAGCCATGAATTGAATAAAAGCACTTCAGAAAAAAAGGCGTAGCTAACATTGATTTTTATCTTAAAATCACTGTGTTCCTAAACAGATTGGTGAATAAGATGTAGGAGGGCCCCCCTTCATGCTGTTTTCGAGTTGTTGCCAAAATATGAACAACCTGAACATCATGCAGTTCCCTCCATCTCTGCTCCTCAGTGCAGAACTCCCAATCAAGATATCCAGATGGGATTACAGTAACATTAAACTAAAGTACTTTGATTGATATAAGATTACACAGGGGCGCATGGTGGTTGACACCATCGCCTCACAGGGTTCCCGGTTTGAGTCCCGGGGGGGACCGGAACCTTTCTGTGTGGAGTTTGCATGTTTTTCCTTGTGTCTGCATGGGTCCCAAAGTCCAAAAACCTGCTTGTTAGGTTGATTGGACATTCCAAATTGCCCTTAGGAGTGAGTGTGCGTGCTTGTTTGTCCTTGTGTGTCTCTGTGTGGCCCTATGATGGACTGGCGGACCGTCCAGGGTGTACCCCGCCTCTCGCCCATTGACCACTGGGATAGGCTCCAGTCACCCCCGTTTATAAGGGAATAGGCCATTACGATAATGGATGGATTACACAAAAGGCAAACTCATTTCTATTTAAAATTGAGCAACTGACATGGCAAAATAAACTATTTTCCTTTTTTCCCCTTGCTTTAGGATTATGTTAGTAATCATTACCTTGTTAGAGGTTGAAGACATGAGAGTTTGGGAGGAATTTACAGGAACATTTTCCATCCACCACAGAGCCTCTTTAGCAGCTGCTACCAGAAGTTCCATCACTGATGAGAAGTGAGGCCGTAGTCGTACATGCCCAAACCTGCAGTGCTCTGGATCACGGTAGTTCTTTTCATCTCCACACTTTTCTCTTTCCATCTCACTGAAACAGGAACATCCTGTTTAATCCGTCCAGAATAGTTCTTTTTCCAGACTTCCGGGGTCAGCAGTGGAGTTTCTATGTTTCTGCAAACACAAGTCTTTGACAAAGATATGATTGACTCTCCCATTTTTTTTTATGTGTTTGAGGCATTTGATGATTTTTCTTCACCAAGGCGGGGATTCTTCTTTCATCAGCAGAGGAACTCCACCAAGGCTTACCAGTCCCTTTACAATGACGGGGCTCACTAAGGCTGAGACAAAGACTGAAGCCTCCATTGATTTTATTCTTGTTTTCCATCCTTTCGGTTACTTCCTTGTCTTTCATTCATGCAGTTTCTCTCTTCTTGTTTCGCAACAGACCCCAAATTGTTGATGCAAGCTGAGGGATCATATCCTTTCTCTGACGAAGAAATAAAGCACACCTGATTCATCACAAACACCTCTCAGGTGTTAGTGATTTCTACAATTCTACATGGTGCAACTGAAATGTCCAAAATCGTCTTGGGAGGAATCTGCATCCTATTATTTGATTCAGAATTTTGCACAGAGGGGGAAGAGAGAGAATTCAAAGAAAACTGCTACTTTGTTCCAGACATTTTGAAGGGCCCTGTTAATAATGATATACGAGTCACATAAATTCAACATTCCAGGCATGTCCTGTTAAGTAGATTTTCTTTTTCCTGGACTTTCACTTGCTGGACTCGTGCATTTATCTTAATGAAGGAAATGATCACTCCTTTCAACATTGTGCATGTTTCCAAACCACTTGATGATGTCCGGGTAATTTATATAGCTGTTCACACTTTAAAAAAAAGGATTTATTTCATGGCCACCTCTTACATATTGTAACCAATAACAGGTTGTTTTTTTTTAAATGTCACCCAGGCTTAATATAAAAGAAAAAAAACATGAAGAGCTACCATATGACTCAAATTCGAACCAATTGTTGAATTAGCACTATCAAATAGTTGGACAGACTCAATTTGTCCTGGAGTTGCTTTAGCTTAAGCTGGATTGAGTGTGTATAGCAGCAGTCCACGCTGCTGCCCTCAGGGCCGACAGGAGATAATGTGAATGTGATTATTCTCCACACGGCTCTTCAGCTTAACGCTGTCAAGGAAGCCGAAGGGGAAAAAAGCCTCACACATCAACGGTCATTCTAACTCTTTAAAAGTCTCTCTGACATTTAACAATCAATCTGAAAAATCTGGTCACCAGAAAAGCACTTTTATCATTCAGATTTATTATCTAAAACAGCACATAAAAGTGCATTCGTTCGCTGGCAAAAATTATTTCTCTGTTTGAATCCTGATGATAAAAAATAACACTGGAACACAAAAGGGGATGCGAGATAAATAAAATGTACTGACTGATATTGATTGCAGCTATACTGCTGGCTTGGCTGACTAAATAACCATTCTGTTAGCTATTATGTGACGGATATGGATGTTCATTTATAGAAGAGAAAACTGTATAATAGAGACCACATGACAATGGAGACTGACACAGACGGTAAAAAATTAAAATTACAACAAAGTCAGAAAAAAATTAAAACATTTATTGGGCATAAATATATTATATATATACGCTACTGATACAGTTACGTCTTACATACATAGGGTAGTATTTGCAAAAAATCTATACATTAAAATCGATATGGCAGTTTCTTTTTATATAATGCATATGAAATTGTCTAACATTTACAATACAAGAAGAAATGCATGAATTTCTTTTTTTTTCTTTTTGTCAAATCGTAGATCATGACAACATTGGAATGTTTGTTTTGAAATTGTGAGGTAAAAATATGTTTCTTTTTTTTGTCTCGCTTAAAAAACAGTTAAATACCTGTGAGTCTTTGAACGTTTGTCAAATTGCCAATCTCTCAGTCAAAATCTCTACTTAGTTTCAAAATGTACATTAAAAAAAAAAAAAGAAACAAAAACTGATCAGAAGGCACAGACGTGGGGTTGTTGGGCAAAACATTGTCTCTTACTCTTGGCATTGCCACAAAATGTGCAGGACCTGCAGGGTGGGTAGATGAGGGCTTGGGGTTTCTTAAAAATGAACAACACTAAAGGAAAAAAAAAAAAAAGAAAAAGCACACCGAGGGAGAAGCCATCCCACAAACACAAAACCTACGTGATTACTGCAACACTAGTATCACTGGCCTGACAGAGACAGAAGAACCTCTGCTCTGCCATCAGGGCATTAAGGCTTATAGAGGGAACTCAAACGAGCTGTGTGTAGAAAACGTAACACTAGGGACTTAAGGACAGGACACCTGACATGTCGGCTGTCAGTTGTAATGGAACAGGCATCTGGTAAAGGCACCATACCCATACGAACGGTACTTTCCTTGGTGCCGTTTTGCTTGACTTCTGCAGGGCGCCACGGGAGTAGCACAGAACCACGCTCCAGTAATGCCAACGTCACAGTGATGCCAACGACAGAATAATGCCAATGAATGTAACAGTAATCGTTGGCAGTAGTGTTTGGAATGGAGCAAATGATCCGTTTCCTCTGACTCATAACCTCATCACGTCTAATGTTCGGCATTAAAAAAAAGTGCTTCAACTCTGTTAGTCATAATGTATTTACCATCTCATTCTATAGCTCTATAGATATCTCTGTATATCATCTCATAGCAAAACACTGGATACAAAACACTCACTACTGCTATACCAGCACTAGCCCCCCCAACAAAAGGAATATTATTGTCGACATCTGCCTGAAGTCATCGTATGATTGTTTTTGCTTGCTTTACTTTTCAGTGTGAAATCAGTTTGAGTTCAATTCTCTCCTCAAAAAGGGGCTACACATTTCAAAATGGCACATTTTGCTTTACAAAACAAAATAATAAAAGATAATATGAAAAGAAGCATAATCACAGATCAAGTTAATGTTTTTTTTTCCTTTTGAGAGTAATAATAACAATAATAATCATTGTAATGCTGTGTTGTTAAAGAACATCACAGAACCCTTTGTACAATTGCAAACGCGACATCTAGTGGACACGAAAAGCCTGCGCTTTGGCATTAAAACAATTTTTTTTTAAAAAGGTATCAGAAGCTTCATTATAACACTATTTGAAAAAAACAAACCAAAAAAAAAAAAAAGCCAAAGGCAGAAACATTTATCCCAATACAGAGGACTTGAACTGGCCCGAAGGCCTGGCTTTGCTACATGTCTCTCTAAGCGTTACAAGGAGCTGCTCGCCTGTGCACGGCGGAAACAGGAGATGAAACAAACAAATAAAAAATACATTTGGTTATATGTTTGAAACGGCAATGATGACTGTATTGCATGGACTGATGAGCTACAGGTTCCCAACAGCTGTAAGAGAAATACTTAAAGGGTTACTGATATAAGGAATGCTGGCCTTAATCATACAATCTAACATACATCCATTTAAAAAAATCTTAAAGAAAAAAACATGCTACAAGAAAAAAATTAGTATATAACTACACTTGTCTCTTAATCTTTAAACAATAAATAAATGAAGATTGCACTGTAATTGGCATGTAAAGTACTGTATGCAAATATATAGTATAAATAAAACCTAGAAAAGAACTCTACCTTAACTTTCCCATCAACTTTGGCAAAGGTTTTTTTGAGCTAGTAAACCACTTTGCTTACTGACACATACAGGAGCAAGGCACAGCTAAGACAGAGGACAGGGTACAGCATTCACAAAATGAGGGGGAAAGGAGAAAAAGAAGAGGAACAGAGAGAAGAGAGCTAATATGACGACGATGGTGATGACAACAACGGGGGCGACAGGATTAGTTCTCCCCTCTGTAAGGCCTTATCCCTGAGGTACGTTACAGGCTGCCACTAAGCGCCGATCATTACCTCCACCCTCCCATCTAATCCCTCCCCCCCGACAACCCATCCGACAAAAGTGGACACGTCGCACATTAATGGGTCGGGTCAGGGAGACTTCTTTGGATTATCAGTATGAAATGGGTTGTACCTTGGCTTTGTTGCACGGGTCTGGGGTAGAACAGCTCTGGGGCTCAGAGGGGAGGTCAGAGGGGTGTTTTGTGTTTCAGAATGCCCTGTTCCGTAGAGGTGTGTTCCATCAAAGGCTTGTTTGGTTAGCGAACATTAGTTCAAGTTCTCAGAGAACATGTCCGTCTGAGTAGAGATCACAGACTTTCTACTGCTCTGATTATATGTCAATAAAGCACCTTTTCAATAAAGAGAGGGAGAGGAAGGGAAGAAAAGAGAGAGTAGTGCACGGACAGAAATAGCTGTGCTACAATGAAAACAAGGGAGAAGGAGCCAGAGCAGAAAGGTAATTACAGATATTTATGGGCAGGAGATGAGAAAGAGGGGAAGAGTCTTCAAACGCATCGATTCACAGACAAGCTGGAAGGAGGAACGGTTTTAGTACTGCTCTGGCTGGCAGCTGGCTAAATTGCAGAGGGTAAAGCTCAAGCTAACTCCTAATGGCTTTTGGTCTGAGAGAGGCGGGTAGCTGGCAGGCCGTTAGCACCTCTGGTTGCATGAAACCTCCGGCATATTACAACTAAAGCTACGGTTAAATTGGCTGGAGCAACGGTGTTGGAGGTGGTTAAAGATGGAGGGCTTGAACGGAGACCACATACAGGTCCGGTCAAGTCCTCTTTAAAATAAACAGTTGCAGCAAATCACAATTCCAGCATGGTTTTCCTAAAGCCATTTTTTTTTTTACCCACAATACAATCAAACACAAGGGGTTTGAGATTCTGATAAAAAGCAGCGTTCTCTAACCTTCTGCATGAGCTGCTGAAATGACCTCAGAGCTGCGATTTATGAGCATTTCTGTTCTCTCCTCCCGCTTTATGCTGTACTTCAGACTTTACATTGCCATCACTTATATTACATCACTTTATAGCATAATAGATATTTGCTATAAAATACATATATTGTATATATGTATATATTAGACTACCGTTTTCCATTCTTTCTTAGATATAATAAAATCACAGGATAGCAGCATCTTACACCACACATGGATTGCATCACTTTGGTAACTGAATAAGTGAGTGATTGAATGGTAAAAGCTGAGCAGATATGCGACTGACTTTTTCGGAGGAAGTGTTTTTTTTTTTTCTCATTGTCATTGCAAGAGTAACGGTGCACATGTGCATGGTTATGTATGAAGGTCTGCAGACTGTCTTTGTCCATCTGAACGAGAGAGCAGTTGCAGACTGCATGAGCTGACTGACAGGCTGTAGAGTCGAAACAAACTGAGTAAGTAGGAACAGCTAAAGCTTCGAAGGCTTACATTTGTTTATGGCTGAACGAACGCACACTGCAATGCGTTAAAAAAAAAGCAAACTAAACACTGAAAAAAACAAAGGAAAAATAATGCGATGACTGTCACGAAATATACACGTTCTCTACTGAATATGTTTTAAAATGATAAAAAGTAAAAACATGCAAGTCAGTCAGAGGAGCAAGTGATCTGCTTACAGTTATTTTAAGGCTTGATTATTAGTTTTCTTTCCCAAAGCAAGAGGACAGCCGAGATCAGGCTTCCCCCCGACGGAAATTCTTAACTGACAGAGACACCGATACAGACAACAGAGAAGTTGAAGGAAGTTAGACCAAACTGAATGTGGGCAGAAGACAACAGGAAAAGCCTGAATCGAAACTTTGACTAGGGGAAAAAAAAGAGAAGAACATACATCACCTTAAAAAGTACATCTCAAGTGTTTGTTTTGATTTCATTCTGTTCTTTCATAGACATTTTTAAAAAGTTTTTTTTTTTCTGTGATTTTGTTTTCTCTTTCTATCCTATAGTTTAAATTCCCTCACTTCATGAAGAAGTACTGCAGCAAGCAGGCGATGAGGATGGAGAGGCCCGCGAACACGCACACGATCAGAGCCGCAAAACGCTCGTCGCTTGAAATAAGCCCCACCCCTTTGCCCGTCTCCATTGCTAACTGCTCTCCTGATGACGCTGCCTCCTGGCGACGTAAGGTGAACAAGGATGACGGGCTCAGAGGTCCGCACAGCTCCTGACACGTATCCTGGCAACGGCGGCAGGCACCTACGCGGAAACGATAGTCTGTGTTTCCCTGGAGACCAGAGATTTGGAATGAGCCCTCTTCTCCCTTAAAAACCTGCAATGAGGGGGACAAAGCAAAGTTTTACCTGCAAGTTGTGCAAGGAGTTGGCGATCAGTCAGAATAAATTCAAATAAGGCTCAAATTTTTCTCATGATAAATGTTGTGTGGTGGTCTGACGAAAAAGAGATTTGAAACCTCTCTATGGTCACAGCTGAATATGTTTGGATACTTTTTTTGAGGCAGAACAGCAAACTGATTGGGGTTGAAATTTTGAGCATCTGAATGGGTGGTAGTCTAATTGCACAAAACATCTGATTTAAGAGCAAGTAATGAAATGAGCAAAAGCACATCAGCACAGCAAGGAGTTTGTCTAATACAGAGTATCAGCAGTTCTTTCCACCCACCATTCTGTAATTCAATTACGGAAAATGAAATAAGCATGAAGAAAAATGTCTTCTCTTCTAGTTGCCTCCTCATTGCTCCGACTCCCAGTCATCCAAAGCCGATTTGTATGTGTACTTAAAACCTTTTTTAAGCCTTTCCAGTGGTGCAAATCATTAAATAAACTGTGCAATAGCTCTCAGAATTCGATTTCTGAGGAAACGGGGTTGCCTGTGCATTTTCTTTTAAATATCTGTCAAAATGTGTTTGCCTTCCCATCAAAACAGAATTTATCTGTCTTGTCGAAGATTAGAAATATCTTTCAAGCAGCTGTCTGCACTTCTCCACAAATAAGGATTTATCAAATAATCTGAAGTATAACTCTGGAGCAGAGAGAGCCAGGAGCTCTCAGCACTACCCTCACATGACCTGTGAGTCTGTGTAACAAACCTGTTTGTATTCTGACTCCCGTCCCACCAGGACTTGGACCACATAAGTCACAGGATCTCCTCTCATTGGCGGGATGGTCTCCCATGTGATTTCACACACGTTCCCCTCCAGCTGGTGCACCCTGGGGGCTGTTGGAATGAGAGACATCAAAATATAATTTCAAATATGTGAAAAGCTCTAAAACAGATGAGAAGCCCTTTTCCTCCTTAAATGAGTCCCTCTTTGAATGGAATTTTCTGCTGTTTATAAACCGCCCTATACATAATAAATGCAATGTCCCTGCAAGAATCTGTTCTTTCATATTAGCGCTAATGGCTGCAGTTATGTTAATGGTCATTAATGGGAGGCTATTTAGCCTAAGAGCTGCAACACAGCATCCACGACAAAGAAAGACTATTTTTTCATGCACATTCATTTTGTTTTTGTAATGTTATCAAGGGGGAAGTATGTCCTCTGGGAATAATGTCATTTCACACCTCAGTACGGTGTCCATTGTGCTTAAAACAGCTCACAACTACATTAAAAAAAATCTAAGAATAAACCCTGATTTGGAGAGATCTCCTTTCAGGAAGCATGCATTTAGTTGTCAGTCTTGAATGCACAGCTGTGCGTTTAACAAAAAACACTTGGAGCTTCGAGGCTGTTTATGGACTGGTGTTTGCTGTGCTGCACATTTTACTGCCTCATAATCATACCCATGATGCTTTGTAGTGGACCCACCAGAGAAAATACTGTTTGCTGCAAAATTTTGCAGCTCTGTTTGCAGCAAACACCATATACTGAGGGCAATAACTGGGTAAGGCTGCAGTAAACAAGTCGTCCTAAACAGCCGGACAGACATATATCTTTGTGTTTTATTTAAGCTTATAAATGCAAGTGACAAATTGTTTCTTTTGGGGTGCTTCAAACAATTTATATCAAATTAATATCAAATTATATCAAATTTAAGATGGAAAATTTACAAAATGATCAATTTTTATTTACACTATTTCCGCTTCATTAAACCCTGCAATAAAACTCATTTACTTGAATGCCCTTGCCAAGACAGAAAACTATGCAGCTCAGCAGAAAAAGAGCAAACTGGTTGCCTGGTAATATACATTTTGGGATATCACATAAAAGAATTGACAAGAGATCATTTCAAGCCTAAAATGCTTATGAAACAAAATCAAATACATTAAGAGCATTTGGGATAGATCAAAAGGAATATTCGCCGGAATAATGTCAAAAGTTTCCCTATATCAATTGTAAAGATGCCTGAAGACAAATTGGCTGCATCAAGAATTACATTTTTCTGCTTCAATCTAAACAGAAAGTCCATCCGTCATTTTTTTATACTATATAAAACAGAAAATGTCATTAGCAAAACATGTTCTCCGGGTCTGTTTTACCTTTGAGGGCAGGGGGCACAGATTTAGTGGTGCTGAATGTGTAGGTGTCTGAAAAAGGGCCCTCCCCGGCGTCGCTGATGGCCTGTATTCTGAAGCTGTAGCTGCTGGACTCGATCAGTCGCTGGACCTTGTAAGTGTGGCTGGGGCCACGGTAGATTGTGACAAACCTGTAAAACATCAGGGAGAAAAAGACAGAGCGGTCAGCGATTCAGAAATTTAGACGGAAAGGGAGAAACTGTAAAAAAACTGAGGCCCAAAATAGTTCTGGTTTGACTTTGACCAACAATACCGTCAAGCATTATACAAAATAGCTCACATATAGCTCGACGAGATAAAACACTATTTTAGCACGTTAAGCGCATGCTACCTTGAGATATAAGGTGTGGAGTTTTTAAAAGACAAGAATGGAGGTAAAGGAAGAGTGCATATTCCAAAGATTAAGATGGCACTGATTTATGAATAGCAGGTTCAGCATTTGTGTGGTTACATTCACAAATCCGATGAAAATGAGCACCAAAAAAGCTCCGGGCTGACTAGATGGACAGTTTGATGAACTTGGACGAGATGATAAGTTGGTAAATGAGGGCTTCAGGGGAAAAAAAAGGTGGATTTGAGCCAAGGTTATTTATCTCTCCTATCAGTTTTCCAGCTAAATTACCTGAAAGTGTGACGTGGGGGAGGGAAACTGAAATATGGAAAGATGATAGTACTCAGGAGAAGAGAAGAGAGTCGAAGAGAAGAGGGGAGAAGAGAAGAGAGAGTGACGGAGGCAGCAAGATAATTATGCAAGAGGAATGATGCTGATGGAGAGACTGTTGGAAGAGTGAAGAAGAAAGAAGATTTGAGGTCAGAGTCTGGTAGAAGGCTATAACTCCACATGAGCTCTTTATGTAGCTGTACCACAGAGAGGCGGTGCGTTTCTCCGGCTGATATATAGTGTTGTTAATCCTTGGCCTGCTCCTTGGTCATACAGCAAACACTTGAGACCATTCTCAACAGAATAAGCTAACACATGAACGAGAAGTGGAGACCCTGCATTCATTTGAATCTCAAGCTTGTGTATTGTCTGTAGATTCTGATTCCAATGTCTAAAAGAAATAAAAGTCTGAATCTGTCATCAGGAGTTATGGCCTGTTTTCCCTCTTCTGGCCAAAGCTGAGAGGCCCGATGTCAAAACAATTAACACAGCACAGATAATAAACACCCTTGCAGCACATTGCCAGGACACAGTTAATGAGATGATTTACATCCTTGATTCTGAGCCAAAGTCCAGTAACTGACCACAAAAGCAGCAGACAAGGACATGTAACAGCTCTGTTTCATGCAGGGATTTTTCCCTGAGTCATTATGCAGTTTTAAGAAATAAGTGGGGTTGAATTTCCTTTCATTTTTATGTACTTTACACACGCAAAAATATCAAAATAGGGGCTTTAGCTGTATTCTTTTTTATTTCAGGGGCCTCTATACATGCAGCTCATCGAGAAAACCAAAAGTAATTTTTAGGCATAACAGCAGGAATGCTGATTGGTTTAGATTTTTTATTTTTCATTTGTTTGCATGCAGAGCAGAAACAATGAACCAGTGGCACTACTGCTGGTCAAAGCCTCAAATTAACAAGCAATTTATTTGTTTCCTTTCTTTCAAGCATTTCTAAAGAAAGGAACAAATAACATCCAGCAAATAAATTGTGCAAGGAAAATTAAAGTTAGTCAAAATAAATTTATTTTGCAAAAATAAGGGATTAAACGCTGATTGTGTTTGCAAGGTTTAAACGGTACAAGTTTGGCTCTAATGTGGTGGCTATGTTAAAAAGCTGTTTGCTGTACATGAAAACATAGTTTTTTCCAGACAGCAACGCACATACAAAGGGACAATGATGGGGATAATAAGAAAACTGTCAAACGGATGGCTTAAGAGCAGAGGAGCAAAAACATGACATGTTTGTACTTCCTCCTGCCTGCTTCCTAAATATTCTTTGTGTTCGACGGTCAAAGCCTTCTTTGCGCTTCGCTGTAACCAGTTACCATGGCATCCCTACAGCTCTGAGTGCCTCTGCCAGAAGGCATTTTGGGTAATACAGATAATGTGAAAGTGGAATGAAAAAGAAAAATCAAACAAACTCATTCAGCTTTGTGACAGAAACATTAGAGGACCGGAAATGAGAGAATAAAAAATAAGTGTGTTCACAGGGATAATGAAAGTGTACACCAGGTAAGAAACAGGGAGGGAGTAAGAGAGAAAAAAAACGAAAAAGGGTAAAGATTGAGTTGTTTTTTTTTTTTAAAAAGGAAATGAAAGGAGCATATATTTCCCTAAAGATTGAACCACAAACAAATAAAATGAACTGAATAAATAAGAATTAGATCAGAGGGCAGAGAGAGACAAAGCAGAGGACGGCCAAAGACAAAGCAAATGATGCAAAATCCCTAATCATATTTGCAGAAATTACAACTAGATATTCAATATGTTTGTTTACAAAGCAAAATATTTCAAGATGCAATACTTTGGTGTTTTGCTTTCAAAGTGCCCTTTCAATCTCACTCCTGACATCACCAAAGAATTATGTGGTTGCCGTGACAGCATTAAAAACAAAACAAAATAAAAAAACCATGCCAATTAATTCTGAAAGAGAAAGATGAGAGGGGAAAGGGGAAAGAGGAGCATATCAGCTCTGTTCATTCAACTGGTCTATACCTCTGCATACACACATGATTTAAGAAATGACAACGCACTAATAATGATGCAGCCAACACATCCAGATACATCCTGTCATACCCCGCAGCAGATCCAGGTAATGAGTCCCGAGCAGAGGCGATGAAGCGGAACCAGCCACGAATCACACATTGTTAATGTGGAGTGATTCAGTTCTTTTGAGCATACGCAGAAATGCTCGTGAAAAAAAAATTGTCCGCCGTCCTTTCATTTTTCTACCCAGAGCCCTGATTGTCTAAAAAGGTCTGCTCATTGCTTATGCGTTCAAACTGCACAAGCTTTTCTTTTCTTTTTAAATGATATGCTCTTCTGTGGGCCAGAATTTGCTTCACCTGAGGGAAGTCTGCTTCAGGATTATTTCTCTTGCGGCCAAATGATCTGCCTAAAGGAATTCAGCCACTCTCAATTCAGATCTCAGTGACACCACATGCCACAGCTAGACAACAAAAGATTTTAAAGTAAACAGAACAAAATTAGTGTTTACTTTTTTTGCTCAATTCAAATTCCTAACCTCTTAAATATGAGCATCACCATTATGAAAGGGCAGTGTTCACGGGAGACTAAAATGTTGTAAATGTTTTTGGAAAAAAAAACGCATTTCTAGAAATATCGACAATATACAATTGGCTTGAGTTTTGAGCAAGATTTTACCATTAAATGATGCAAAAGGTTTAAGATTCAAAAGATTACAGAATTTTTGGGGGGGTTAACCTGGGGATTGGGGATGGTTTTGTTTTTTGTCTTTAACGAAAAAAATTCTGTCACATTCATACAAGAGTAGTTTTTCTGATAGGCGTCTGTCTATTTGGTATATCTCGTGCTGAATAGACAAAAAGAACAACAAAAAGAAAATAAGGCTACAAAATTCCCCCAAAAAAGCCTATTAACAAAGGGAAAATTTAGACTGGAACAGAAACAAGCGGAGACAAAAACTAAATTGGCTTCCAATTAGAATATATTCATGGACTAGGCACCATCTTCTCCTCAGAATTGATTGGCAAAAGCATCTCACATTGTATTCAGGGCTGCACATTTGAACATTTTTTATCCTGAAAATGAATTCCAATGTTCTTTTAAAAACGTGCAAGCATTAAAAAAAGAATCCCATCACAATTTAACCAATTAGCCTAACCAAATACCATGAGCATTACTAAATACTTGTAATAAGAAGAAAGCAAATTGAACAAATACAAAATTTTCCTCATTTGATATGTCTCACTCCTACAGAAGACTGAACGTGCGTTAGATCAGGCTGCGTCATTTCATAAGAAGACAACACAAAACCATATTCAGAGATCAAACCTAATGTGATGATGAATAAAGCAGATGGTGCATTGTTGTGCATTCACCTATAAACACAAAAACACACAAGAGCATCCAGTATGGCCACAAACACCGGTGTGTCTGCCAAAAACGGGCAAATCAAGCTGAATCTAAACTGTGGAAGCTGTTTTCACTTGGCTGCCAATTCTGTGTGTCAATTTCCCCGTTTTTCTGTGTGTCCGTGACAGAGGTTAACAAGTGGTAGCCTGCTGTATTTGCTCCCATCTGTTCCATTCTGCACTCCGGCTCGTTCCAGCGTCGCCAGCATGCCTTGGTGCCAGCTTAATGCCAGCCAAGCTTTCATTTAGACACCAACAAGAGCCAATCAGAGTGACAGAAAGCTGTACATGGTGAGGGGGACAATCTGAAAGGTGTGCGGGCAGACGGGCACATGGCAGAGGCTCTTCATTATTTGGTTTGCCGATTCTGAAAAAAGACTATTTCAGCCCTTGTTGCACTCCCTCTTGTTGTGTATCTAGCTTCATGTCAGTGGTGGTGTTTTAAACCTTTGTCTCTTCCCCAGCGTGCTCTTACCCCATTTCCCTTTCTCAGTCTGGTCAGGTCCTTAAATGGAGGGTTGATTATTGGAGACAGTTTCCCAGCTGGCTGCAAATACTATCAACATGACTATTCTCAAGTCCATGTAGTTACTGCCACCACACACGCACAGATACACAGCTCGGCACACTTTACCTAGATTACACATTATCCTCACACTCCCTCAGCTTCCCCTAAGCTGCTGTGGCCGTCTCTTTGTTGTGTCTGAAGTATTGACTCAAGTCCTGATTTGCTGTATTGACAACCTGCAGGTTAATAACTCAGACAAAATGTCTTCCTTTAAGGGCAACATCAATACTTAATCGCCCTGTCACATAAGCTCGTCACTATACATTAAACAGTGGCTCAAGTATCTTTGATGTACTCCTCTTGACTGAAATGTGTAGAAAAACACTTCATTCCACTTTATAGTCTCAGATTCCTTTTGGTGAAATTTAAACAGGCTTTTTTGTTTCCCTCTTGAGGCAATGGCCAGTGTTCTGTAAAGGCTAGTGGATTTACTCTTTGGTGTCTGGTGAATATGGCTGTTTGTACCCCCTTATGTTTTTCTTTCTTTTCATTTTCCACTTAGATTTGCTGGACTGTCATTTCAGGGTCAGACTGATGTACTTTCATGGGGACATCCATGCTTTTATCATGGAGCTCTGAGGGATACCAAGTTGATGAGCTCTGTCTTTTCTTACATATATGTTAGAGGGCTTCTTCAATGCTTATCATTTGATTTTGACCTTCTCAATAAGTTTGAAATCTTTCCTACTTTGCATCATGAAGTTTTCAACTCAAACATAACCCACCTGTGGTTCTTGTCTTCCATTTGTAGTGTGTAGACCATCTCATCAGCAAGCAGTGTGCGTGTGTGTCCAGCGTTCTCGCCCCACTTGAGCTTCAGGCTCTGAGGGCCGGCCGCTGCACATTCGAGCGGCGGCGGGGCTGGAGGGAGGGGGCGTGTCCTCACCAGCAGCGGCTGACTCAAGGGACTGGAGCCGATGACATTCACCGCTTGGATCTGCACACTGAAAAATTAAGAGGAAAGAAATTGGACAACAAATTGTGAGACAAATGGCATGTTTTACATCTTCTGTTTATAAGGGAAAAAATCTATTTGGAATTGATTGAGAACATGCACGAGGACTGAGATGATATCCGTAAACTCTGTACACGTGAATCTACCACACATGGAGGTGTGTGCACCAGCTGACACGGTCTGCTTTAAGAGGATTCACAGACCTTTTTGTCTAATGTTGGGGTAAATTTCAGAGCAAAGGTCTTCATCCATTACCACTCTCCCATTACAACTCAGTGAACTCAGCAGCATGAGACTTTAATGTGACACTCTTGCCAAGCCATTTCATTTTTTCCAAAAAGAGCAGAGCTTTGGAAGGAAAATGAACTCGGATGCTCAGCTCTTTAAAGGGATTCCTGGAAAAAACAAACTATTACTGTAGGTGCTCTAATAGGTCTGATGCAGTGTACAGGGTGGATGATGTAGAAGGAATATGTAGATAAAATGCAGCTTTATCATTCAGATACAAGCAGATTTGAACGAAAACTCACTAGTCCACAGCTAATTAAAAGAATTGACTGAAATGGATTTCTTTGCCTCACACTCTCCCGCTGGCTCACTTCTAGGAATTCCCCTCCCTTCTGCTTCCTTCTGCTGTCAGTCTGTTTGATCAGCTGATTAACTCCGTACAAGAGAGCATCTACAGTTTGACATTTAACTGATTCTTAGTAAATGTAACCTTTTCATGTAGCTGAGCAAAGACAGGGGGGAAAGGGCAGTACTCATCCGTCCATAGGGGAATTAGGTCAACACATAAAAGATGATGAGGAGTTGAGAAGGAGCAGGAGAGGTCTGGTATGGTTTGTGTGTCAGAGTTTTGAAATACTTTGACACTTGTTAAACAAAGGAAACAAAAAGGGAGGACAGTGGACTTGCTGCCTGATTATTTACTGGAATTTAAGCTTAATAAATCCATTCAAGACAGAACGAATACACACTTGTATGTGCCTGATGGTTGAGGACATCAAAATGACTATCTACTTTTTATAGGCTCAAATGTTCTCCTTCACATGGGCAGAGGGGAGCCCCAGCAATCGTGGAGATACACATTAACAAATAAAACATGAAGTACATCTCCTACTGCCAGTAACAGCCCAAATTACGGGCCTTGGCACTCACAAAAAGGTACGCTTATGCACATGCACGCAGATGGATATGTCCAAACAAACATGTGCATGGTGTTCTGCCTCAGCGGCAGCCATTATGCAAGAGTGCAGAGTGACATTGGGACAAAAACAACCCCAGAACAAAAACAATGATGTGTGTGATCGTCCTGCTTCTTCACATGTCCCCCCCCCCCCAACCTCGGGCTGCATTTCTGTTCATTTTTTCATTTAAATCACAATTCAGAGAAAACATTGTTCAATGGGTATTATGCATTCATACACAATAATTACAGAGTGGTTCCAAGAGTTGTAAGAACAGCGGCTGTTGATATAGATGACTAAGCACTTGTTTTTCTGTGTTTTTTTTGTTTTTTTGCTGGATGGAAATTATTGTGTAAGCATCATCTTGTTTTGGTTTTGGTTGATTGTATCTACGTGCTAACACAGCGGCATATGGAACACTACATTCATTCTTCCTAACGAAAATATTTGTCTATTTTTGCATCAGCTCTGGTGTCTCATAATTGGCTCCAAGTCAGCACCTGTATTCGTTGTCTGGCTGCAGGCCTGTGACAAGGTGGGTTGTCCCCGATTCCACGCTGATGGTTAGGTCGTCCAGGGAGATGACGTAAGAGGTGATTTCTGCTCCGTTGCTGTTTGGCTCCTCCCACTTCAGGAGGAGGCAGGTGGATGGGGAGTGGCCCATCTCCGGGTAGGTCGGGAGGTCAAGGAGGGTGAGGGACGAGACCTGGTCCGGGTTGGTCGCTGGGGTGCGGAAACTCACCTTGTCGCTGTATGGACCAGCACCCGCCTGGTTCACCGCCTGGGTGTGACACAAGAGCACATAGTGTGAGAGGGATGGTAGAAAGGGGCCGTGAGGACCTGTGGGACAGACGAATGCGAGGACAGAAAAGAGAGATGGGCAGATACTAAGACAGGGAGAAATGTATCATGATGGATGGTTGGAGAGAAAAGACAACAAAAGTTAAATGGCCTGATAAGAACAGGAGAAACTCTGATAAAGAGCTAGAGAAAGTAAAATAGAGGGAAAGAAGAAATGAAGGATTGTAGAAAACCAGTAGAAGAGGGATTAATTCAATTCAACTCAGAAAGACCATTAGTCTATTAACTTTGCCATCCAAAGGAAATTTATATTCATCACCAGTTTCCTTTATTAAATGACTTTAAAAATCTTGTTGTAAGTCTACTCCACTGCCTCAGAGGGATGTACTGAAATTAAAGACAGTCCAAACATACTAAATATTTTACGATTCAAGTTTTAGTTTTTAAAAAGCTTGAAAGAACACATTTAAACTTTAAAAAATAGCAAATGCAATTATGTTAAGATCGCGCCAATGTTTGATTACAATATGCTTGTTGTGGCTGATACATGTAATAAGCGTGGGAAGAAACTGAAAAGTGAGGAGATTTACTGGGAATGTCACAACTGTAGAGTCCATTGGAGTGCATGAGTAGGACCAAGGATGAACAGTTTGAGTTCAGAATGAAATTTGCAGTCTGTGATACAAAAAAAAGTCTGATTTATTGACTTTTCTTGGCTGTAGCCTTGTAATAAATAGATGTATTTCAGATCGATTTTTTATTTATTTATGGGTTGCTAAATCTATCTTTTCCTTACAACTGACTCCAGGTATTTGAAGTGTTACCATGAAATACATTTTTATCTGAATCTGTTCTACAGCTAATGAGCGAGTTCAAGCTCATACAGGCAAAGAGCCCAAAGTTTTACAAGAAGTATAACTGAGTTAGTGCTTCTCATGTGACCCTTTTTTGACTGTTATTTTAAGACAGACGTATGGACCACATACAATGGTGCACAGGAGCACATATAGACAAATCAAATGTGCACAAAAAAAACCGTGATGAGGACATTAAGCTGACCTTGTATAGTCCCTGTGTTATAAATGGTCCAATAAAGAAAGGAGCCATAAAACATGCTTTTATTGGATTCTTGGCTGCAGAGGGAACATCAACAGAGAACGCGAGAGTGTGTTTGACAAGTACACAAATGCATACACACAAACAGAGAGGATGCTTATTTATGCACTACATAAAGAATTGGACATAAATTGAATCAGCCATAATCACTGATCTCCTGGTTGTTTGTGAGTGTGTCTTTGTTTTGATGCTTCTCAGGGTTTTGTGTTCAGGTTGTTCGCTGCATTTGTCTGTATTACCATGGATTTGTATATTGCATCACAGTATATAGAACCCCTTTGTGCTGTTGTGCGTGCGTTACCTGTAGCCTGCAGCAGTAATCGGTGGCAGGCGTGAGGTCTGACAGTTCACACTGTGTGGCAGAGCCACAGTAGATGAGCTCCATGGATTCGTCTTCCCTCGCCCATTCCAATCTGTACTCAGAGATGTCTGTACCTGAACCTTCAGGGCTCTAGGAGACGCGGAAAAGCGCACAATTAGATCATGGGATCAATAGCATGCTGACATTTGCCTACTAAGATTTAATGAAACATGCCGTTTAACTCGGAAGTTTGATTGTCACATAACGACATACAAATTATCAAGTTTGTTTTGAATACTGACAATCATTAGAGCTTAATTTACGATATAAAACAAGTTTCCAACATTGGTTTTTTACGTCAAATTTAGTTTCTTCATAAGATGAGAAATGAAAAGTTCCAACTGGCAGTTTTGGGTTGAAAAAATTTGAAATTTACTAAGTCTTATAAAAATGCGCTCTCACAAAAATCAGAATGTTTAAAAGAGAAGAAGATTTTTTCAAGCAGTTATTTTTTCCTCTTACTTTCAGTACATCAGGAAGGAAAGGAGGACTACAGTCTCCTAAGTGTATTATAAACAACAGTCAAAGATTTTAAGATGTCTAGAAACACAAAAAGATAAGTAGAAGCTCTTTTCTCTATCAGTACTTTTGCCCACAGGGATGGGTAGTTTACCTTGCTAAACCTAGTTGTGTGTGCTGTGCGATCGTCTCACCTCCCAATTGAGCGTTACACAGGTGTTACTCGTGAGAGTGATGAGGGGTGCCCCACACTGGCCCGGAGGTCCCGCTGCCGTCGTCACCTCTGTCGGCTCCGAGAACATCCCAAACTATGACACAGCACAAAATTCACCAGCTGCTCAGAAGAGCGTTTTGGGTCAAAAGTGTGTAAACTTGCTTTTTCCAGCTTCTAGCGTATGTCGGTTTCACACAAGATTCATCACCTTCATGATTTACAAAAAGCTTGCTGCAAACTGTGATAACACTCGACTGTCTGTGCTCTTGTTCCTGTTATTGAACGTGTTCCTGCCTACTTTTGATCAGCCATCCTGGCTCAGCAGATCATCAAACCAGCTGAATGTTGTACTCATTTTATGAAAGACACAGCCTGCTTAACTGTTCTGAGACATTCTGACCAAACTACCCTTGACACTGTGTATTTATGTGAGCTGCTGCGATTTCAAGTTAAGTTTGTGTTTTTTTTTTTAAACAGCCATTTTTGTTTTCAGCTACTGTGGTGGAAAAACAGGTGACTTTTGTCATTTCTGACCTGTTGTGATGTAAGCCTCTTTTTCAATCTGAGGGTATTTTTTCTTTTTTAAAGTGCCTATCTTGTCCAGGCAATTACAATAATGGCGCTTTTTCCGTGCATTACTCTCATTTCTGACCGTGTCCCTGCTGCCATAGCCAAACAAATCTCTCACCCCAGCCTCGTTGGCAGCCCTGAGTCGGAAGCTGTACGTCGCACCGGGTAGCAGACTAGCGACAGTGCACTGCAGATCAGGGCCGTTGTACACCTCTGCTGGCTTGGTGTCTCCTTCACTCATCTCCAGACTGTACACACACTCTTCACACACTCCCTCAGAGACAAGGGAGTCTAAGAGGAGAAAATAGCAGAGATAGATTTAAAGAGCATTTCAAATCAGACCAATCAGACTCAGATTAAAAAGATTCCAGTAATTAAAATCAGTTTGACTTTTTTTATAGATAAAATTTTGTTTTTTTAATCTCTCAGGACAGTGGTTAGTTCCGTTATCCGTTTCTCTATAAAATCGGCAATCCCCCACCCACCCACCATCTGCTTTACTTTGCCAGAAGCTAGATTAAAGTAGCAAATGATGAGGGCACTGGGGAAAACCCTTCAATACATTATGTCTGACCTTCAACTCCAGCCAGTAATTGCAGCAGCGCTGCCTGAATTTGAGCTGATTAGCGATGTGACCGGCTGTACCAAACTGGTTAAAGAAAGAACTTCCTCAGCACAGCGGTCTGCGAGACTTTTGGCTGCCAAGAGATAACGCAACTAATCTGCAGTAACGGGCTGACATTAGGATAGTTAAGGCAGATATTAGGCAAGGTGGGGCATTTAATGGGCTGAATTAGGGCCAAATCAGGCTAAAACACGGTTGACTTAGTTTATATTAGAGCTGGCCAGCGAAACATATTAGGCAGCCAGAAGGTGATTTGGTGGCTTTTCATGAAATATTCCAATATGTTTGGCTATATAAATCTCAACACAGTGTACGTGTGTCTGCACTCACCCCATTCTAACTGCACTTCCTTGTGTTTGGCTTTACCCACAATCCTTGGCGGCTGGCACGGTCCTGGCGGCACACTTAATGTACGGACTGGGACACTAACAGTGCACTTCAGAAGTGGAGACAAAACAGGAAATTAGAAAAAGAGACGGAACCCAAGAATAGACCAGTTTGATAAACCACAAAATATAGGAATTCATACTTGGGGAAGAAATTATATGATTTATTTCCCTGATTATTTGGAGGATTATAAACTAAAACCTCAAAAGTAACTTATTCTATCCTTTTTATTCAGGTACTTTTATTCCAGAATTACTTTGTGTCGTTGTTACTTCTCTCCAAACCCAAAAAAGATCATGGAAATTGAAGGTCTGAAGTGCATCTTTTAAAAGTCGTTCTTATTGTGTCTTACCGGGCTGTGCCCTCCGGTGGTGATGCTGCATACACGTAGGCAGTAGAAGGTCCCAGGTGTCAGCCGCTCACACACACATTCTGTTGCTGGGCCACTGTAGGCCACCTCCCACTGGCTCTCTGTGAGAATATGCCCACAAACAGAGAGCACAATTACAGGCCCGATCGCATTCATGAAGCACAGCGCATACACTTAATCTCCCGCTGTTTTGTACATATTTTTGTCGTTGACCTTGGTATTTTTCTAGAAACAGACTCTCGTTGACCAAATTTATCCCCACACATCAATTCTGCGTTGGTGTTTACTTGTTGATGGAAAGAGTAGGCCGGTAAATTACAATACTCCACAGGTAAAGCTTTTAATTATGCCATGCAAATATAGGTTACCATTAGATCACTAGGGGAAAAAATTAATTGTGCTGAGGATTGGTGGTGCATTTCGATTGTAACATGGGTGTCCTGAGGTTATCTACAAACACTGACTACATCATGATGTGATGTTTTAGTCATCTTGCAAATGTAGCACATAAAAAACAGCACTAAACATGCTGAAAATTTGAGTATGTTTCAGATTCCCCTGATATTTACATAAATTGTACATTAAAATAGCTGAAACACACGTCACACTGACTCAAAGGCAGAATGAGTGGAAGTAAGGTACAATAATAAGGCAGTTCTTCACTAATAGAGCAGCACAGTGTGGATTTCTCATCTTGAAGTGTTTATTATTCAACACTAGTTTCCAGAAAATAGCTAAACAAGCAATGCTGTTCATTGGTGTGATTGAATGAACAGATTAAATGAAATTACATCTCTTTTCATTCCCTTTTATCAAGACTCAGTGAAAGCTTTTGGCTTCCTGCCATGCAGATTTGAGAAAATTGAAACAACACTGCATGGTAAATTCAAGCTGACAATAAGTGAATTGTTGCTGCTTTTTTCTAAAGAGAGGTAGTGAGTCAAATACATATTGAGAGAATTATAAGAACAATTCAAAAAGAAAGAATGGCCTACTTAGGACTAACTTTGTATTATAAGATTTGGAGCACAGGGATGGAGGCAGAGACAGATAACAGCCATACCTTCAGAGCAGCCCTCTGAGATCTCTAACAGGTACGTAAGCGCCTCAGATCCCCCGTTGTCCTGTGGAGGATCTGTTGGTAAAATAAATGATTGGACTTTAGTTTGGAACACATGAACAATGCATTAAACTGATTACAATGAAAATGTATGCGTGAGCATGTATGTGTGTTATATGTAATGCTGATCTGAGACTATGCCAAATAAATCTTTCAACCATTTATAATAATTTCCCTAAAATCTGCATATAATTCGATGTAATAATTTAAATCTCTCTAATTATCTATTCCTTTTTCCGTACCACATCCCATTCGGTGCATTACGGCTGCTGCCATAAATACGATTACAGTGGCATTTGCATGTACCCCTGATTTAATGAATTACAAAAGCATGAAAACAATTGGGGGGGTCAACTCATCAGTGTAACATGATTAACTTGCAAGACAACCTTACGTGAACCTATTTAGCATTCCAAAACTGTTGTGGGTATAACAGTCAACAATGTGAAAATATCAAGTCCAAAAACATTTGGAGCATTTACCCCATGTGACAGTAAAGCTGTAGGATGTTGCTCCGGTGACGCAGGGGGTAGATGGAGGGCCTGGTTTATCTGGATTTGTGGTGCACACCAACACTTCACTGGGACTGCTCTTTCCCTCTGTGTTCGATGCTATGAGCTGTAGGGGAGGGGGGCGGACACAAGAGATTAAGATGGGGAACATAGTCTGATGGTAGAAAGACAAGAATGTGAATTCAAAATTGAACAAGCTGATGACAAAAGGATAAGAAGGGCAATAATAAGCAGAAAAAATGAAAGAAACAGAGGACATAGTATGTGAAAAAAAAGAGAGAGAGCATGTCCGAGGTCAGAGGTAAACAAAGAGAAGAATCTATCAAAAGTCTAACTCTCCTGAATAGTAGAAGGCATTTCTCTCTGCTTTGTTACTCGTGTCCCTCTGGGGTTGTCTGTCTTAATTTCTCTTTAGTTAGTTTCTTCTATTACCCCTCCAATGGGCAATCAATTTGCTTTGTTCTCACATGTTCAGACAGGGTGGAAAAACACACAAGGAACACCTGACTCTCGCAGCACATGAAAAAATAAATACGCAGTGAAATTGGAGATGATTGCACCATAAAAACACGCAAACACACTTAGAGACATAAAGTTGGTACATCGCGTTTCCCAGTGTCCTCTCATTATGAACAGAATGATCACGGCTTTTAGTGGAATCAAAAAGAGTTCTCTACTTGATGAATGACTGCTGAATGTGTTCTTGCCTCCGTTAAATTGCATCCAGTTCTCTAGTGGCAACTTGCCATATTCAATCTTTGATTGATGGATGTTGTATTACCATAGAAAGATACGTTGATGGATGGGGGCCTTTGGAAACCTTTTTTTTTTCCAATTAACACAAATAGATCATTACTGACTTCATCTGGATTTAGTCAGAGATCTATAGAGATGCCAAAACTTCTTCATGTGAACTCAACATTTCAACCAGACTCTCTCCAAATGTGAATAACAAATAATTGAGGCTGTATCAAACTGTTTAAGATTAATTTACCTTATTTTTACTGCATTGTCAGATATGCCAAAGCAAGTGCCAATCCCTAAGTGCACCCACTTGAAGAATAAGAGTTACACTTCAAAGTTATGTTCAAATTTAAAAAAGAAATATGAATTTATTTCAAGTTAATTATTCATTTTTAATTGCTGCACAGTAGTCTTGTGTATTTTCCAAGAAAAAAAACAGCCCACAGATGTTTAAAAAATAGATACATGCAAATGTATGTCACTTACCCTAAATTTATACTGCGTACTTCTCTTCAGGCCTTGTACAGTACAGGTCAAGTTTTCTCCAGTGTACTTTGGGTGAAAGTCTGTTCCCTGTTGGAGATGTACTGTAAGTTGTCTTTGTTCTGAAATTTCCTCTAGTTTAACATCACATTTACACACACGTTCACACTCTCTCTGTGTGTACATTTTTGTTTATGTACCATCAACAGATTTGGGTTTGCTGTGGATTCACCCCAAACCCTTCAACCTATCATTATGTAGGTACTTTTAAGCCAACTTTATATTGGAAAATACACTTTACATCCATAAAGTGGACACAGTTTCATTCTGAATGATCAAAACCAAAAGAAATTTACTGAAAATATAATCTTCTTAAGTCATATTTTTTTGCATTTAATGAAAATACACATTTGCATGCATTTGTGGCACTCACGCTGTTGTCTTCCTGGATCTCGAGAGTATATTTGAGCTGCTCCTCGTTGGGGCTGCCCTCAGGACGCCCCCACTCTAGAGTCACCCAGGACACCCCTGCTCTGACCAGCCGTGGTGCCAGCGGCAGAGCAGGCTGGGTGCCCATGGTGTAAAACACCACCTCCGTACTGAAGCCACTGCCCAAAAAAAGTAACGATTTCAATTAAATCCACATTGTCGTGTTTAATTTAAAAGCAAAATTCCTGTGCGAGAGGAAGGAGAACCTATATGCATCATGAATTTCAACTTCAGTATAAACAGAAAAAAGACTCATTTATTGAAGGGAAAGTTGAGAAGGATGGGGGAGTTGCAGAATTAAAGTGATTTTAAGCAAGGCGAAGGGAATAATGAGCAGCTGTAGGACGGGGGTGTATGGATGGAGCATCCGAGCAGACAGGACAGAGGGAGGAGAGTCAGATTTGATTTGCAGGGGGAATGGCTGGAATTTCTTTTTCTTTAGTGGATTAACAGTTTTTTTAAAAAGTATGCCTCGGCTAGTCTGCTTGTCTGTGGCTTTTTAACACAGTCCATTATTCAAAAAGGCCACATTAAGACCTGTCTGACTCATGAAAAGGGAGCTTATATGTCCTCCCTCACCATAACCACTGCAGGTTCTGTCCGACACAGTGAGAAAGAGAATGAGACAGGAGAGTGAAAGGGAGGAAAGATGGAAAGGAGGGATAACAACTCTTGAGGAGCACAATAATAGCTATCACAGTAATAGGTGTTTTTCCGTCCACCATTCTGCTGTATGACAAAGTGCCGGGGAAAGCTATGACGTCCTTCACGTGTAGCCACATCCCCGATTCGTTTAACTGGGAGTCTGTGTGCAAGCGGATGGCGACATATGTGACTGCTCGTATGCATCTGTTCTATGAAAGGGTGGCCTTACCTCGTGCCAATGTCATTATGCGCGGCCACTCTGAACGTGTATCCACAGGCGGGGAACAGCCGGGTCAGTTTACAGTGTCTCTGGCTCCCAAAGTAACATTCTCTGAAAACACTGTTCTTCTTTCCCTGCCGAGGAGGAAATAAGCACGTGAACATGAAAAAGAAAAGGCAATTGCAAATGTCAAAGATGGAGGAAAATATTAGCGGAGCAAGACGAGATGTTTGCTCGACCACTATAGGTGTAACCGCGTTAGCACGCATCAGAAAGTAAGGAAAAACAAGACTTACCTCATCCCACTCCAGCAGGTAGTTTGTAATTTTGGATCCGTTGTCGCCAGGGGGCTGCAGATGAGAGGGAGACAGACCAGACGAGGCCGACAAGAAGCAAGAGAGATTGAGAGATTAGCCAAGGATGAAAGACTCTGACAAGGAGACTGACAAAATACCCGCTGCGCTTTTGAGATTGACCTCATATCCTGTCTGGGTAATTGATGTTAGTCTCTATCAGCAGGGCTGTGAGTGGATAAAAATGACTTGTGCAGGAGAGGTCAGAGAGGATACGAGGATGCTCTCTGACAGCCTTGCGCACGACAGAAGGAATGTCTATTAGGTGCTGCTGAGCTGATAAAGTCAAGAAGATAAACCAGGAGAAGCCAAATATTCTGTTTACTCTCTTCAGAGAATTAGCTTTTGGACAGCCGCATCAGTCTAAGGACAGCGGTTGACAGACAAGTGGCCGTACCTTCCACTGTAGACTGAGAGTGCTCTTGGTGCGGTGGGAGAGTTTTGGAGGTAACGGGACATCAGGAACGCTGCAGTGTGTCGTGAATGAGCCCGCCTCTGAAGACGAACCTCGAAACGAGTTGTACATTGCAGAAACCCTGATGACAGAAATTTAAATAGCGTCTTTTCGCAACATTCTTGGATCTGCAAAGCTTGAGATTAAAACTTAAACTGAAAAAATTATATTTTTATGCATAGAACTGGCATTCAGTCTAAACGTTCTTACCGTACGTGGTAGTCTGTGGCTGGCCGAAGATCTTTCAGGTGGTATTCTAATTCCTCACCACTGAAACACACAAAGACAGAAAAAGCAAAATGTCACAAAACATCAACTTTGAATGATCTTAATTTATATCAAATATATGTGTAGCAGACTCTGTGTTGCTTTAGGTTAGAGTGGCTTTTTACCTGTATATAAGGCGATACTTTCCGTCCTTTCCCTTATCTGAAAGAGAGACTTCATAGGAGCAAGACACAGGCATCCCGTTGTTATGCCTGTTTACCAGCCCAGCTGGAGGGGCCCAGGACAGCCGAGCAGCCCGCGCCTGAACATTGGACACCTGAAGTGCGCAAATCGAAATAAGTGTTGCAAATTTTTCGTAAAAAACAAAACAAAACTTCATAACACAGTCTTTTTTAAATATGCTAGGTATATTTGCATCACAACCGTAAAAGAAAATTACTTAAAAGTCAAACACCATGTCCATGTCTGAGCATATTGTGTGTTCTTCTACTTTTTTTGTTTAAATGGTCAGTGATCAAATGTCAGATCAGAGCTTCTATCTAAATGAAGTTTGGCATAACTCTAAAGGTTTCGTCATATTATATCGTATCCTATATGTGCACATGTTGAGGTGTGTGCAACACAGAAAGGAATTTGGAACTCATTCACATTTGAGAGCTAATTTAAGACCATCAACATAAATGAGAAGAATCCCCAATTACAACTAAACTAATAAATAACGTCATGATTTTGGCCCAAACCTATTACATTTATGGCTGCATCAATTTGGGGCTCAGCTGAGAACATGAAAACTGGCAAAATGCTATTATACATCAATTTCCCGTTTTTCTACCATCCCCTATTACATCAAATCCTCTGTTACTATCTGCCATCAAGGCATTCTCCTTGTCATTTAAACCTCTCGTTAACAATTAGAGGCTGTCTTAAATGATCTAATTGCACTGCATGCTGCACCAAGAAATTTCTCTCTACAAAACGAACTATGCATGCATGGTAAGGGCCAATTTATTTAAAACCCAAATCAGGCATAGTAAAAAAAAATCATTTTAAAAAAGGAAAAAAAAAAGAAAGATATTTTTCAGCATTCACAGTGTGTTTCGGGGGATGGAGTGAACGGCAGTGATGAGTGGATGCTGCCCTCATGTGGTTGCAGTGTGTGCAGCTTAAATAGTCAGTGGAGCCCGTAACTGCTGCCACACAGCAGGTAAGCAAGTCACCACTGGTAATGTTTCCAAAGCTAACATCTAACTTCCCAATTAATTAAAGACACACGACAGACACGTGGACAAGACATGAATACTCACGCCAGCGCTGACCCCATCAGACAAGGTGAATCATTAAAATGGTTAAAACTGTGAGTGTGAGTGTGTGTGTGTGTGTGTTCGTGTGTGTGGGAAAAGGCATGCATACCGACCTGTGGTTTGTCGATTGTAGACAGCATGTCTTGAACACGTTTCCCTTCTGAGTCATGATCTGAGGAGACAGACAAAGAATAAAAAACAGAGTAATTAAAAAAAATTAGCGGCAAGAAATATGTCAACTGGAAGATTTAGTCAAGAGGAGAGACTGTTTGGGTGTGATGTGAAGAGAGGTGCCACATGCTGCGTCATTACTGCATAGGTTTCTACATCTTCTGATTAGGAGTCTGACTGGCAGCTCCTTAATTGAAATGGAAAACAGAAATAAAACTCCCCATTCCAAGTTTCAAGGCAGATCTACATCAGCAGTTTTGGCAGTGCAACTCCAAACAGGGGAGAAATGAGTAGGAACAGACACTTCTGGAAAAGTGTGTGGACTAATGGTGTGTGATGAAATACTTGTTTTCCTCAAAAGGCACCATTTTTTCCTCAAACTGTGATAAACACAGAAGAAAAGAAAAAACATTCAATCCCAAATTCCCACCTACAGCAAATGAATGGAGATGACTAGAAAAATAACTTATATTCTAAATCACCTATCCTGCTCAGAAGATTGAAAATGGAAATCATTATCCTAATCATTATTATGTATCATTTTGAATCAGCGGTCCCTAAAACCTGTGAGTAATTATCTATGGAAACGTATGACGTCAGTAGGTTTGTTGTTGTAGCTCCTCCATAGAACCTACTGCGTGTGGCATTATACTGAATACAATGCTATAGGTGTCCCATGTTTGTGTTGGAATATAATCAGTTTTTTTTAGCATCAAAGAATAATATTCTATACATATTATAACTGTCTTTACTATTCTAATATCAGAGAGCAAATAGGAGTCCATTTCTCAGAAAATGTTTCAGTTATGTTAAACAAACTGTTCATTTGATGCCATTTCATTTAATATTAAAAAGAATGGTTTTTAAGATCCAAGAGATATAGACGCATTGTTTTCCTTTGCTTTATAAAGATAAAAGTAACTTTTATACTTCTTTTAAAATCCGAAAATAAGGAGAGCAGGGATTTTTAGTCTACAAACTAATGGTGTCATAGGGTGCAAGAAGACCTCAAAATGAGGCTGTAGCAGTTTGGCCAGGTGCACGTACACACATCCATGCATGGGTAAGCTTCACTAACATATGTCCAACGGTGATTTAGTGGACACTTGGGGTAGTTATGAGAGTTGTACAAGCCTATGTGTGTGCTTATGTGTAATGCAAGTGTTTCCTCCCAAGCTGAGGATTTTCCAAGCGAGGAGGGCCTGCTTTCTTCATCTGACTGCTCTAAATCACACAGGATGTGCATGTCTGTCTGTGGGAAGGTAAGAAAGTAAAAAAGCACAAGCATGAGACAAAGACTGGTTGACAACAATGTTAAAGAACTGGGAATAGTATCAAACTCACAAGTTTCACATGTCTTTACACAGTTGAACATACAGCTTTTTGCAAATGTTTGGAAACCGCTGATCAAGATTTCTGTAAATAGTCAACTGAATAAAAGAGGATCTCCAAAAGGCATTGCATTAAATATTATATATTGAATTCAAGATTTTCTGTGTGGTTTTATATTTTTTGTGCTTCATTAAAGTTAGTAAAGCAACTGTACCCTACTTAACTTGTATAAAAGTACAGTCTTGCAGATTTACAATTTTTAAAATCTGATTACATCTACTGGCCGGACTGTCCAGGATGCACCCTGCCTCTGCCTTTGGGAAAAAGTGGTTCAGAAAATGGATTGATGGATTTCATCTACTGGCATATTTATGCTCCTGACAAGATCCATGATGGATAATGAATGAGATGAATAGGATCAACCAAATAGAACAAACACTAAGAAACAGGGCATGAAAAGATATTAAACAAAAAAGTAGCTTATAACAAAAACCATGTATAGGCCACGATATTTACTAAAGGAGGTGTTGAAATTATACAATCGAAAAGCACCAGTGCCAATGGATAGAGCAGAAATAAAGAGGCACACAGTACCTGTCAAAAGTTTACACACACTCACTCATTCAAAATGATGGTAGGTGTGGCCAATATATATGACTGTATATGTACTCATTTGCTGAGTGTATTTTTAAACAAAGTAACATGGGCTTGCTGTATACTTAGTACGAGTGATGAATGAGAGATTGTGTTGGTGCATATGTCTGTGTCTCTGACAGGTTCAGTAGGAAAGAGGGCCTTACTGTGCCTGGGGGTTCACTTATGAGTCATGGCAACAGTGATGTCATGGAATCACAACCTCAACTTGACCTCCCTTTTACTCCGTGTATGTGTGTGTTAGAATAAAAAGAAAGCGCATAGGAGACTCTGTATCAGGTTACAGGAGATTGGTGGTGGGCAACGGGAGGAGGCAAGTTAAGCTACTGTCTGTGCATGAGTGAGCTGGGCCTGGCTTTGTTCTGGGAGGGTTCAACAGGTGAAGTACATACTCTGCATCAGTGTTCAACACATCAGCTCATTAGCGTTCCTTTTTAAAAACAGCCCCTTGTCCCCTTTCATCCATTTGGACCAAAGGAAGTTTTTTGTCCGTGCTGGAATAAAAGGCACACTCGCACTCCGAACTCCAGACATGATCTAGCTTCTTCCACACATTTATCACAGCTCAGTGGCAAAGAAGAATAAAAGTCTGGCATCAAAGAGCCCCGAGACGAAGAGGCGGGGCTCTTTTACAGCATAGTGGACTTGTTAAGTTAGAAAGCACATTCAATGTACATGAAGGCACCAACCTATTGGCCGATATCGTCATTTACCTTTAAACTGGAAGCTAAATGCCCCCTATTCTAAAACATTCACTCTGAAACATCCACTATTAAATACACCCAACAGCAATGATTAATATATAGGTTCATTCATTTGTCATTGACATTCCCACAACTTGGATATCTTATTGTGGTTGTAAAAATGTAAGTTTTTAAATGAATCCTATTTGTTGAATAGATCCATCTTTAGAGCAAGCTGGATACTAAGGATCATACCAACCAGTACGCGTCTTCACTTCACCATCCCTGAATTGGAGGGTACAATATGTGGGTTGTCAAAACATGTACAATTTAAACCAAACACTTATAATTCAGAGATGTGAAAACAGTTGGTAAACCCGCGAGCTCAGCCTGTGAGGCGTATCTAGAATTTCAGGAGACCAGCATTAAAGTTTGAAGCTACTGCCTAACCTCCCAGCTGACTACTATGACTCGCTGTGGTTGTCGAGTCCAGCTGCTTAAGAGTTTAATATAGAGATCAACCACAAAGAGACCATGCTGACAGTTGGAAGAGAAACTGAACCGCCTCTCTGTGTTACTCTGCTGAATCCTATGTCCTAACAGTCCCTCATGTCCTTTTCTGTTTTTGTGTTGCCCACGCAGCCTCACTTCCTCTCCTCGTCTGACCTCACATCCTGTCTGTGTCTGACCGCCTGTGTTTGATTATTTAGGACGGCCAGACGAAGCAAGGGAGTGCAACGGATGGCAGGAAAAGAGAAGGAATGAGGGAGGACTTTTGGGGGCGGTAGGCCCAGCCAAACCAGGCGAGATGGGAATTTAGAGGAAGAAAGAGAGACACTGAAGGACAGAGTGAAAAAGGAGAGAACGGACAGGAGGAGTCTGGGTAAGAGATTTGGTAGAAAAACACAAGGAAATTGAGAGACAAAGAGTGAGCCGGGGATCAACAATGAGGGAAAGAGAAAAGAAAGGGATGAAAGGAGAAGGGGGAGATGGATTAGGGGGATGTGAGGCAAGGATTATAAAAACTTTGGTGACATCATCAGAAGATGCAGAGCAGATGCGCACCCCCGATCTCAATGTAGTAGTTCTTATAAGTATGAGTCACTGTCCATAAATACAGTCTGGCTTAACAGAAGGTCACAAAACCATGCATGAGACGCAAAATAATGCATTTCCATTTCCTTGGAAATGGAGATATCTTTGGTGGGTAATTATTTTTCTCCAGCATAGACAGGTGAGTCCTACACTGATAATACCGCGTTTCTATCAGCTGTGTAGAGCAGTGAGGCCGGGGTTTCCCTTGCTTTTAGCGTTGCTGAGAGCCTTTGTTTTAGTGAAAGAAAGCAGTACGGACAGCCCAACTCACAATTCAGTGGTTGTTTCAAACACAATCATTATCTCATTCATCAACCTGGTGGTTTTCCATTACATATGGGGACCAAACAAAAAGATGAACCGACCCGCCGGTGACGTTATTTGGACGTGGCATGAGCATGAGACAACAGCGAAGGATATTGTGGCAACGATACACCGGCTGAACCTCAGTGATGGTTTGTGTATAAGGCATCGACAGTGTGAAAGAATCTGTTTTTGCGGCATTTTTAAATAGGCAGTGTTCCCTTTAGGGAGTCACTTATCAGGTCATGTGAGTCCCTGACCAATCGGTGGCAGGCACTTTGCTCTTGGCCCGGCTCAGCCCACTTGGAACCAAGGCCAAGTAGTGGCCGTTAGGAAGTGCTAACCCCTAATCGAAGTACCAAAAAACCAAGTAGAGCTGAACCGAGCTGAGTGGGTACTAGAAAAACCCCATTAGTGACATTTAACTGTTAATTCAAATTTTCATGCACCTCCAACATACATTTTACCACCACATAATCAAACCCAGAGAGCTTTGTGCTTATCCCAGCTTTGACTTTTAGGATATCACACACCTCTGCATTGTAAAATAAGATATTTTTTCTCCCTCAAGGCCCACGTTTAAATAAATACGCAGCATGAGATTACCCCAGTCTTAATCCCTGTCAGTGCCGTTCAGCTCTAACCTGCTCACTCCCTAAGACCCCCTCAAATTCTTGGGCTTGTTTTCCGTTTAAATGTTCCACACACACAGAAACCTCTAAATTAGCTGCGAGGATTCCAAATCGAGCTTTAGAAAAAGTGAGATACATTGACACTGAGGAGGTTGCATTCCTCCAGCATGACGGCCTGCGCGCCTTAGACACAGTCTGTCTGCCATGGGACAAAAAAAGACCTTTAAGGCTTGGAAAAAAAATGCAAAAAATGTGGCAACGGCTGCTCACTCAGCCCCCACTCCACTCAAACACTGGGCCACAGGGTGCGTCTGGTGTGTCGCAAACAGCGTGATCCTTAAAAGCATCTAATCAGAGCCAACAAAGCAAAGTGATAGAAAATAATCTGACATCAAAGTCCTTCCAAAAGAGAGGGACGGACTGGAAGGAATGAAAGGAAATGGTAGGGACAGAGCTTAGAAAAAAGAAAGACAAGGTAACAGGAAAGTAGAGGTAGAGATGGGTACAGACTTCGGATTCCACACTATTATCATCTGCTGCATAGCCGGCATTCCATCTGTTCAACAGCTGGGCTGCACAGACTCACACATACACACAAATACACAGAGGAGGAGTTGTTGGGACATGCCTGAAATCGTGGTTGTCATGGTAAAGGTTTGGTTCTCATGGTCTGGCCCTAGATCACTTATGAAAGGGAGATTAGAAAGAGAGAGCGGTGCAGAGAGACTGGCATGGAGAAATTGAGTGCCAGAGTAAGAAAGGTCGGCAGAAATAAATTTAAGAACTGAAAAATGCTAGATGAAAATCTGGATTTTGATCTACTTTTAAAGTGGACAATATTCACAAATTTAAAATTGAACCAGAACTTTTTTACCACACAAACCCAAGTTTTTAAATAAGTGTGTGTGTGTGTTCACGACTACAGGACAATTTTTCATGCCAGAAACTCAGAGCAGAGCAATAAAAAAAACATCTAAATACACATAGTGAATCCATGGTCTAACTTACTTTGAAACTAAAATAAATAAGTAGCTGTATATATGCACATAATTGCATTGTCCAGTGCCTTAAGTTGATTTCCCTCAATAATTAGGTTTCATGTGTGCATATAAACACAGGGACACAGAGACCTCATCCACTGCAGGCCTTTCACTCAACAAAGAAATAAGCATTCCAGCTGCCAAGAGAGGCAAAAAGACTGTGTATGAATTTTTGCATCCAGATGTGTGCGTTTGTCCTTGTGTTTGTGTGCAGCCAGGAGCATACCCTGACCGAAAGGTTTTATTGGGATGAATTTTTCAGAACCCTGACCCCATTCAACCCTGCACAGCCAGAAGCAAAAACTAAACTAAACTAAAAAAGAAAATAAATTATGTTGACTAGCATACTCCATGGAGGGTGACTCCACAGACAGCAAATCAGGAAGTCTAGGGAAAGGTGAATGCAGATGTTTTAGAATGAGGCTACAACCTCCCTTCTAGTTCCCTGTCCAGTCCAGTTAAACAATAGCAGTGAAGTCCTTCCCTCCTCCACCATTTATCTAATTAACATGTCCCTCATTAACCGTTATTCCAAAACATCTTCATTTTCTTTTCTTCTTTGTCCATTTTCTGTCTCCTCTCTTACCCTTCAGTTCAAGTCCCACGTCTACCCCACTGCCCTCAATTGCCATCCTGTCCTACAAACATAGCCGTATTTGGGTTGGTGGGAAGAGGATGGAGTGTGTGTATGTGTGTGTGGTGGTGGGGGGGGGGGGGGGGGGGGGGGGGGGGGGTTGGAGAGCATTAGGGGGCCTGAGATTATCACCATGGCAATTCACTAAAACAGACCAGGAAGGACAGAGTGGGACACAGTGAGACACACATTTCCAGGCCTATTACTACAGTTGCAGCAGGAAGAGCTGACAGAGGACGTTTAGATTTACTCCTAACTGCTGAGTCATGAATCTGCTCAAGTATGAGTAATAAATAGCGAGAGTAAATTCATGATCATTTGGATATTTTTTTCCAAACCGGGCAACAAATGTTTTCCACTTAATCATTTCCCCATAACAAAATCTACTGGTTACAAGCCAACCATGAAGAAAAACTGACTTATGAGATGGTGATTTTTTTTTTTTTATAGTCTGAGTTCCTTATAAGAAGCACAGTGAACCTGGGGGAACAATAAAGTATGTTACATTCTTTCAGTAACTAAGCTGTAAAGGAATAAAAACTCACTCTTACCCCCAAAAATATGTGCTGGCTGATAAGAAATAAAAATGTTGTCTAATTTTGTCTAATGTGAACCTTAACCTTTGCTCATTCATTTTTGCTAAAGGCAGCAAACTTAGACTTTGATGTGCATCTGGTGTTACTGACCCAGTTCACTGACTAGATGTCCTCTCCTTTACTAATGCTACGGGTGCACCATATGTTTAAGCATTTACAGTTACCCTGTAATTGCAGCTTCGCCACAGTTCAGCTAAAGTTAGCTGGGCTTTAAGCGCAGCAAGGCAGAAAAAAATCTCTGGGTAGGGATCATTTACATTTTGATATTATCATGATAGGCTTTATTAAACTGGGAACTTTTTAATTGAGATCAAATATCCCCTTTGCCAGGGAATGCTGGCAATGTGACATCTTAATATATTTAATCATGGTTTAGGAGAAAATGGATCCAAAATGTGTTTCTGGAAATGAGTTGGGAGTATAAAAAAAAGTGTCTCTGACATTGAAACAATCAATTCAAGTCGCACTTTGCTTATTTCAAAGCAACCATCTTAGAAAGCTGTCAATATGGCTTACAATCGCATAAAAACAATCTTTAGCATGTTCTTTACTTTGGGTTTATTGTTTTAACGGTGAGATTGCATGAAAAGTTTCATTTCGGTTGCCAAGATGATTGTGCAAGTTAAGGTTTAACCTTGGAAATTCCTTTGACGGCCAGAATGAATTTTCATTTCGGGGGAAATAAAATTGGCTGTCCGTCAATTTAACCGCAGAAAATTTCCAAAGAATTGTCACATGGTTCCGTGTTTAGATAACATGACGTTTTGGCCTCTTTTTTTCTTTCTTCTGTATCATTAACAGAGCCAACATGGTGAACATAGCCATCTGATTTCTCCAGGACTCAAAAGCATTTGGCTATGACGTAGCAGCAAAGATGGAGGGGCTGAGGAGGGAGCTGCTCCATGTGTCTCCGCTGAACTGTTTTTTTTTTCTGAGAACGAGACAGGATTTGCGATGGTGATGTTGCAGAGCCAAGATGGAGGAACAGAGGGGACGGAGCGCACATCTGTTTCTGCTCAGCGGGCTCAGTTCTGAGGAAAAGAGCCTGTGGAGCTGGCTTTACAGGAGAATGGACACTGAGATAGCCAAGTCAGCCTGCTGCCTTACTGGCACCGGAGGAAATCGCCACACAAACACAGAAAAAGGGCATCAGGGGCAAAGCGTAGGCGGCTCTGTGTGTGTGTGTGTGTGTGTGTGTGTGTGTGTGTGTGTGTGTGTGTGTGTGTGTGTGTGTGTGTGGTATTCTGGGTTGGACCGTGCTAGGATGCGCCAGGCCAAGCAGTAACTTTGGCGGAATGTTTGTTCTCTGCTCTTTAGCTCTCCGTCTCTCTGTCTTTCCATTCCTTCCCTCTCTGTGATTTAAAAGTCCTGGTTCAATTTTTTTTTTTCTCCTCTCCTTCCATTTCTCTCCTCTCATCTGTCCCTCAAATCATGCATTCCTCCCGTCTTTCTGTTTGCCCCCATCCTTTGGACCCTCATGCTCTGATTGTTTTACAGGAAGCCCAGTCACGGGGTGTTTGTATATGTGTGAGTGTGCGGGTTGGTGTGTGTTTTGCGACATGTCTAGCTGACTCAGCCTGATCTCCAGCCCTGTACTGAGACCCTGGTAGACCAGAACAGACAGCCCATGACATGCTGACATTCTTCTGTCTGTAAAGTGTGTTATTTTTGTTTTAATACTACAGTGGACTCCAATGAATGTGTTTTTTTCCCTTCCACCATCAGCTTAGTTAGCGTATGTGTGTGTGTATGCATGTATTCAATATATTGTTACAATTACAGCTCAACAACGCATTTATCCAAACCTGACTCGGCTGGAATCTTCCTGCGACACCTTGCTGTGAAGCACTTCCTATGGTTTTATGTGGATAATACATTTAAAGAAAAAGTTTGACAGTTACAATTAAGGAGTCAAGGAACTTATATGTCTCGTTATGTTTTTCTGTCATCACCTCTCCAGACAGCCCAGCACTTTGTCTGTTTAAGCGCATAAAACTGATATTCTGCTCTTTTTAATAACACTGATCCGTCAAAAGACATGTCATTAGAGAAGAACGACAAAATAAGTAAATGTGTGTGCGTACCTCAGTGCCGGTAGAAATGTGTGTGTGTGTGTGTGTGATAAGGCTGAAGTTCAGTGTCTAAATCTCAAAGGTTTCCTTCATCCCAAGCAGAACTCTACAGGTATGTGACTCCCCCCTCCCCCTATCTCTTTCACCCCACTCTTACCCACCCCCCACCTCAGTGTGGTTAAGCCTTCACCAACAAGGCCGGTATTGTCGCGAGGGTAAAACGATAGCGCTCAGGGACGGGTTCAGCTATGTGGTTACCCAGACAACCCCTCTTACCCTCCTCCCCATCTTCCCAACTGAATCCGCACCCCCTACCCCCACCCGTCTCTTCACCTCAGTGAGGTTGCATTCATTCCTCCTCCATTCATTTTTGAGGTGATTTTCTGTGGGGGAGGAAGAGAACGGGGGAACGAAAGGTGCGTTTCATGTGCGCAGGGGCACTAAGGCCGAAGAGAACAAAGACGGTCACAGAGGCAGGGAGCGAGAGGGGGGGCAGAAGAATACAGGTTCCTCGTCCACAAAGGTGATTGTGTTGCTTGGTGACATATCCATCGCTTGGAAAATAAAGGGGCTCAACACTTCTTAGAAATGCAGATTGACAGATATATAAACTGAAACAGATGCACAGATTTATCGTAGCGCCCTCACGATGCTGGTTGTGGGGCCGTGTTTTTAATACTAAAAGTAGAAGTTCAACATGCTTTTGCGGTGCGTGAGTATTAACTACATTCCAGAAATTTGATTTAGCTTGTTTGCACTCAGACGGTGTGTGTATATGTTTGAAGCTGCGGTCAGTCTCTCATCTTATCCTGTGTTTTTATGGTTAAAAGGGTTTTCTAAAAAAAATCAATACACGCTTTCAGAAAAGCAAAGAGCATGACCACAAATATCTCTGCCATTCATCAATTGTGTAAGCCAGTCTCACTCTCTGCTGTGAGGCTGTGTGTTCTACCTTGTGCGTGTGTCTCTGGCTCACTGTTTCGTGGACTGCTGCGGAGTCGTCTTTCTTGCTTCTTGCCCCCTGGACTGCTGAGTCCGCCACCCGACCCCGCTGACCCAAGTGATGGGGTGTGCGATTTGTTACTGCAACACAGATAAAAAGTAGGAATTTCCTAATTAGTAAGGACGGCAAATGATAAAACAAGATGTAATTTGTGAAAAAAAAGGATAACTTCAAGCACTCTAACTGTCACAGGTTAAACAAAACGACAACAAAAATTCCATTCAAAATGAGATTTTACATTTTCCAGAGAGAAATTGCAGCAATACAAAGGATATCTTACAGTTGTTGCATAAATGTATCTAAGATGCTGAGAAATTGGACCTATTTTTTGTAAGGAAAAAAACATCATTTTGACTTTAAAGTAAAAATGGGTAACAGAACCCAAGAGACTAATTCCAAACGTGATATGTGTCCACACATATTGACACAATCAGGTTGACAACAGCTGTAAAACTTTGAATACTTATCAAAAGCTTTACAGCACTCTGTGGAAAAATAAGAAAATTTGTGTTGTGGTCACCTGTATCCATTGTGTGCTGAGCCCACACCGCTCTTGTAGAGGGTGGAGGGGGGAGAATTGAGTCGGTTCTGTCTCGGTTCCTTTATCTTTTTAGGCTGTGGTTTACCGTACGTCTCTTCTCTGCCAATGTAGCTAGACATCCCATAAACTGGGATGATTTCTGACCCAAGAGGAAAGATAAGGAAAGAAGAATTAAAACTACAGGCCTGTGCAAATCGCATTTTCAGAGAATAGTGACTGACTACTTTTTACAACATAAAATCAGTGGTCATCCTGCAGGGCCAGTCTTGTCAGCTCGTGAATACCTGGGTCGCCGTACATGGGGGGAAGGTGGTGCTGGTAGTACTGGTGGGGAGGCATCTCCCCTGGGCTGACAGGGGGATAGAAAGAGTGGGAGTTGGGGATGAAGTGAGGGTGAGCCAGGTAAGGGGGCAGGTGGTGTGTGGGGGACAGAGCCGGAGAGTAAGAGGGAGGGTAGCACTCTGGAGACTGGGGGGTCACCACCACTCGGCGGACTCCAGTGGTATCCTCAAGCACCTGTGGGACAGAGCACAAATGAAAAGTCGAGGGTGTAAGATTGTTTCTTTAAAAATGCTATGCAGTAGATATTGTTTGGGGAATTTTACATTTCACTGAGATGTGTTATACAAAAACCTACTTTCTAGACAAAAGTGAGACATTTGTACACTGGGGAAATCCAAACCCTGTGCCCAGATAAAGATGTTTTACTGGAAAATTGTTTGCATCTTCAAAGGCTTTATTAGTTGCCCAGTAGAGGTTAAATTGGAGTCTAAAGAAGAACAGATTATCTGTATTACAGAATGTGTTTGACGCCTGAGCTGGAGCACCAACAGAAAACAAGGCCTTTTAAAGTGAAAACAAGTGCACGATGTTAAAAAGAATGGGGAATCCGTATGTCCAAATATCTGCCTCAAATGCCTCAAACGTGGATTCCATACTTGCATTCACTTTCACATTCATGGTCTGAGACGCAAACACACACACATGCACATTCCAATTATTCAGACACTTTCACAGGCCTGCATTCCAAGGAGAAAGCAAACACACACTCCCTGCAGAGAGGGGAAGCAATCTCTGGTCCCTAACAACAACACCCACACACACACACCGTCAGACAACACACCAAATAACACAACCCCGAAAGCTCCAGAACAAACTGAGAGACATTACATAGTCAAAGCACAAAAGGCAGAAAAAAGTGTGGGTTAAGAAAAGAAAAAAATGGGCCAGGGTGGAATGAAGAAGGTTACAGAACTAACTCAAGTGAGAAAGAAAAGTGGGGAGAATGGAGGGGGAGGAGGAAGAGGAGGCCCCTATCTGCCCCTCATTCCTCCTCTTTTGAAGAGAAGAAAAACAGTGTTTACAGGAAAACAAGAGCAAAGTCCTTGTATGAGTATACGTGGAGCTGGTATGTTGGCCAGCTCCACGTATACGTTTTATGGAAAAGGACACACACGTTCAAAATGCTCATGTGAATGTGCAAACAAGCATGGCAACAACAGACGACACACACGGATACACTTGCATGCACAGTTCATCTCACGCCTGCACTACTTTCCACCATCAAAGTGCTCTTTCTCCATTCACCCCCCCCTTTTCCAATCTTTACCCCCCCCCCACCAATAACACCCAGAAAAAAAAAAGCCCACTGAAGCCTGCCTCCCCTACCAGGCTTGTTTATGTAAGAGTGACAGTGTTTCCCGCTCATACTTGGCCCGGTCCCTGCTAACACACACCCACACACATGCAAAGGCAAACACACGCCCACGGTGAGCCAATGACCCAACTTCCATTGCCGTATGAACGCAACCCAACCGCAAGCACCCCACACACGTACTTGTAACACTCTGTTTTTCGGGGCAAGGTCTCTTTTTGTCTTTGCTCTACAATTCTAATGGAGAGTCCACAAATACATACCTGTGGATTACCCCAACACTCTAAACAAGTGAAGTCCTCTTTAATGCCATCTGTGTTTCTGATCTACACCACTGACAGGATAGGTAAAAAGCCTGGAACACTCTTTGTGTGTCTGCTTCTGATGGTTTGTAATGAAAAATTAATAACAGACAAGATTGATGATGCTTTAAAGATGAATTTGCTGGCTTTAATTGTCAAGATGCTTTAAACCTGTTTGCCAGAAACGTCTAATGCCAAAACACACTTTTTAATCAATTTTAATTAACTTACTACACTTTCAAGCCACCGAGCTCTGTTAATCTTTTTCTCTATTAAAACACATAATGTTTGTTTGTTTTTTTTTCTTCAAAAGACTTACAATTCAATCTCACACTGATGAGACAACAACAGCATGAGACAGTTGCATAATGTGTGTTTCACCTCCAACAGGGAATGAACTGCTGTTTGGTAGCTAATCATTTTTTACCAATCAGGGTGGGCATACGGGGGCCCATGTCTCTGTACAAAGAAAACCTCAATACAGCAGATAGAAAGAAAAGTAAGGCATGCATGCATGCAGACAGACAAAGACTAACCTGTGAAATGTATCCAGGAGGAACGTGGATGGGGGGAATTGAACCATTAGGGGACATCATGGGTACTTCAGCAGGACCTGTAAGGGAGGAGAAAAAGATACTTGACCAGGCAACTCATGCTAATTTATATTCTCAAATTGTTCACCTACGGTTCATATGCAGGACCAAGCTTCATACAAATGCAAAAGGCCAGTACTGAAATAAATCATGTAAAATAAAAGACCTTTCCCTCTCCAGCTTGAAGTCAAAAACCATACCCTTTTTAATACAAGTTAAGCAGGGTTTTCTATATACAAAGGCTGCATAATGTGTGTAAACCATGAAGACACATGACAGTTCTACTGGCTGAAAAATAAATAATATACATAAAGAAAAGAAGTGAATCGAATTAGCAGACAGAAAATGATGTTGACTTTTCCAATGTCCACATCTCCCCCTCCAAAATCTCTCCGTTTCTCTCGGCCTTCGGCTTTCTATGGTGGAGGTCTGCGGCTGTTAAAGTCATCGGGACCCCGGGGGGACAGCTGGAGGCAGACCTAGCCTCAGAATAAATCACACCACACAGGCATGTGCGAAGCAAACACACACACACGTCCACAAACATACAAACGGAGGCTACTGCCAACTGAGAACATACGAACAAGTGTGAAGACTGGCTGATATTTTTCACATCTTAAATGCTGCTCCATTTTAACAGTCACTTCACACAACAAACAAACCAACATGTTTTTCAAATCACAGTTCATGGTATAACTTTATCATAACTTACTACCATGGATCTTGTGTCAGCTGATGCGTTAGAAAAAAACATTCTCTCGACACCCAACAATCAAAGAAAAGCTTTGGAATGTCTTTCAAGAAGCCTAGACAACAACTCCTGACTAATACTTAAAGAAACTACAAGAAGTTTGCATGAGAGGGTTCAGATTGTGGTCAAGGACAAAGGTGTTCATTCCAAATGCTGACTTACAGGCTAATTGATACGGGCCCTGTGATGGACTGACATCCTGTCCCGGGTGTATCCCACCTCTCACCAAATGACAGCCGGGATAGGATCCAGGCCCTCTGCGACCCTGAGCTGGATTAAGCTGGTATAGAAAGCGGATGAACATATGAGCTGGCTCAAGACTTTCCACGGTGATGTATCTCAGTCAATAAATCAATTCCATTCCCGTGCTTGTGTGTAGAGGCAAGGACAGTAGTCCAATTAAATGGCCTGCTTGAGTTATAAGTCAATTCAACTGCCTGAGTAAAGGTACCGACTGGGGAAAAGGACTTTTTTAAATACATTACATAGAGGAAGTGACTCTTTCACACATTCCTGCCGTGGTTCTTTTCTAATTTCCTGTCTCCCTCAATCCTTCCTCCCTTCAGCACGGTCCTCCCTAATCGCTTTTCTCACCGTCAATTCCTACAACTTCCCATTTTGCTCTCCCTCATTTAGTCCTGCTCTCCTTTCCATCCTTTCCATCTTTTCATCCGTTCATGAATTCCTCCAGCAGGTCCCTTACTTTACTTGAGCTATTACTCACATGCTTCCCCCTCCCCTTTCATCTCAAATATTACTCAGTTCATCCCCCCTTACTTCATCCTTTTCACATCCCCCATTCATTCTCATCTTCTCTCCTTCCACCTCTTTCCATCAACCCCCTGCCTCCCTCTCCTTCCACTCCTCAATTTCTCACTCGCATCCCAGACGTTTCATTAACCAAACAAACAGGTGACAGTACAGTAAACACACACACACCACTGCACGCACAAACCCGACCTGAGCAAAGTCTACAGTGTGTGTAGTGAGTGGGTTACAGGTAGGGAGAGACAGGCCTCTTTCAGTCCTTTCTGCTCACCTACTACAGAGACCAAGAGTGGATATGAAAGTACTCATTGAGGAGAAGGTCACAGCATAAGGAGAACACACGGCGCACACACACTGAGCTCCTCTAAACCTCTTTCCATCACTGTTCATAGCACACTTTCACTCTCACACACACTCTCAGACACACACACACATACATACATACTCTTGGCAAACAGAAGTGTGTTTGGACAGTCTCTGCAGCCTCTGTGCTCTTCACTCAGCAAACAGCAGCATTCCTCCACTCAAACACACACACACACACACACACACACACACACACACACACACACACACGTACAGAGAGAACATTCCCATCCCTGGCCCCAAGGACTGGACCCAACAGGCCCATCTACCCTCAATCCCTCCCCAAAATACAAGACACTCTTTGTCCTGCTACCCTTCACTCTCACACACACACACACACCCACACACACACTCTGTTGTAAGTCACACGATATTAGACTGAATTACTCTGATTTATTTTTGTATTTTTTATTCTGGAGGTCTCAGGTTAATCGAGGATCTGTAAGTGTGAATTGAATAAGTTGTAATTGTAAATGCCTGTGTGTTTGCGAGAACATATTCCTTGATGCTCACTATGGTAACGTCACTTTCGGGTCTCATCTCCAGCTTTACCCTTTAAGCACCACAAATAAAGCCATGACTTCCTCTCTGTAATCCTGCTGGAATCACAGACAACAGCCCCCCATCTCCACTCCCTCTGTGCTCTCACTCATCTTCCATCTGTTGCTTCTTCCACTTCCGACTGTTGGAGGACGTAGATCAAAGGAGCACTTATGGGGTTGTGTCCTTCATGTGGCATGATGCCAGTGTACCTGAGCATCGGCATTGCTAATCTGAAAACCAGAGTGCTCTCTCTACAGTTAGAGTTGAACCACCTTGATCATATTTCCTGACATTTCCTCCCCCAGTCAAGTAAACACCCTTGATATCCTCCCTTCCAAAGATTACCTGCATGGAGTCCTTAAAAAAGGGGTAAAAATAAAAATCTAATAAAACAAGACCAAGGGATCGGCATATAACAAAAATAACAAAAAATGTTTTGGAGTTACATTAAACTGAATTATAATCATAATTAGAAGCATATTTATGCTGTGACGTTAATTTACTTTGATCTTCAGCTTGATTAAAGAAATTGATTAAATAAATACGCACTGAAATCAAATTGAAAAAATAACAGTTTGGATCTTCAAAGTGATCACACAATGGAATATTTGTTTCCCTTTTGTGTTGGGGCATTTCAATGTCACAACACAGAGTCACAAAAGCCATTTTCATATCTAAGACAGATAAATCGAATCAATGTCAGTACAATGGTTTCTAGCATACCACGTTTACACTTGTCAAATATAGCAGTAGGGTTGAAAATCAGCTGAGAGTGTACATTTTTACTTGTTTAAGCTTTTTGAAGTGTCAGTTCTATACACATGGGGTTACAATTGCACAACAGTAAGAGTAATAGCTATCCAAAAAACAAGAAAAACAAGACGTTTATCTGAACTTAACACATCTCAGTATAGTTACCGACAGACTTTTAGATCCCTTTGGAGTTACAAGGTTATTTTTCCATAATAATCTTCTGTTGAGATACTGAAAGCAGAAACATAGCCATAGTTTTATTTTCTGTTATTTACTTGGTGAGATGCAGTGAAGAAAAAAAAAACGAAAACAGCCTCGAAATTTTGTTGACACCAATTTACTGGAGAGTAGAGCAGATGTGAGCAATTCTGAACTGGTGAAATGAGTACATGAATTCTGTCAATCGATGTCGGCGTAGCCCGCCTCTCACCCCGGGTCAGTTTGGGTAAGCTCTGCTTCAACAACCCTGAACAGTGATGTACCCATAGTTGAAGAGACACTGTCCAGACAGACGACGAGAACCTTGAAAATACTCAGATCCAACCTTTTTATCTTTAGTATAGCCAAGAAAACAGCTATGGAATTTAAAGGAGATGTGAGCAAATACAAGACAGGTGTTATGAACCTCTGCTGCCATAAGACAACATTTATCTAAGCCTAAGCTGAAGCTGAAAATTCCCAGCTTCTGACAAGAAATTACAACAGCCCCGTCTTCCCAATGATGCAACGCCTACTTGCACAGACATACACTATCTAAGTCTCAGCTGGCAAAGTTTAAGTTTTGCTGTTAAAGATTTACTCAAGAAATATAAACACATTTCCATGGTAAACATCCTGCCTCAGACTGTACCACACACAGGCACAGACTCACACAGCTGCTTCTGAACGAGCCCATTCACAAAAAGCAAAGACGGAAAAAAAAAAATAGGATCAACTTGTGATTTTGTCCAGCTGCCCATACATACATTGATTCTCATAGACAGACAGAGGAGATGATGCAACTTTTCATCAGATGTTTCCCATGATAACAGCTGTCTTCGACAAGGGACCCTGAAACACAACCTCACTAAATTACTTATATCTGTAATAATGCAATAGCCTAAGCCCACTGGGTGAGCACACACACTCTCCTCCATATCTGTGGATCAGACAGCGCCGACAATAAACTCATGCCAACTGTTTGTATCGCACTAAAGCGGTGCCCCACTTCCAGAGAAAACTTAAGTGTTTTCTGTTTCTCCCTTCATCTCGGCACATGTGGTGACCACATTGAAAGGAAACACAGACCCTCTTGGGGAAGCATGTGTGTGTGTGTGTGTGTTTCTAACCGAAGGAACCGGTTAGCAAGCTGACCTACATACAAACCACCTAGAACCCAAATGGATTTCCCAACAACACACAGGGACTAAGATCTTTTTTTTTCCCAAAAATAAATTATTGTTAACTGACAGGCTTAAAATATGTTCTCTTTGTGGAAACAAAACAACTTTCCCACAAACACAGAAACCCACTGTCTACCCTATCAGAACCCCAGGGAGGCAGCTGTCCCGTCTAGATGGATATTTGTATTTATGAAAGTGTGTATATACGTGTGCGCATCTGTGTATGTGTGTGTTTGTCTAGATGTGTGTCTGGGTCAGTTGTGACGTGGCACTGCCTGGAAGTTATGTAAGCATCAGCAGGGTAATGTTATCTGTCCTTGGAGCTCCAAGAGCAAGACGCTCCCATGACAGCTTCCTCTACTAACTGGCCAATCCACACACACACACACACACACACACACACACACACAAACCCACACTTTGAACCACATGGCCCATTGTCACTTCTTAAGATGAA